ATCCCTGGCCCGTTTTCCCCCTCGTTCCCCTCCTGTGTTTCCACCTGTGTCTCTTGATCCGACGCCTCCCTCCCACTTCTGGTCTCGCCGTCCCTCTCGTGCTCGTCATATCTCCCCGGTTCAGCATTCTCACATTTTGTTGCTCCGTTCTCACGTGTCTCATGCTCCTCTTCTCCCGTCGCCTCCTCGGTCGTCGCTTCTTATCTCTCCACCTCCTCTCTCTAACTCTCTTCGTGTGATTAGTCCTCTTGTTCCTCAAGTCCTCGACTCTCTTGTTACCGACCCGTCCGTTCTTGTCTCGAGTCTTGACGCTCTTGTCGCTGCTGTTACTGACTTTGCCACTACCCGCCGCCTTGACTATGCAACTGCTCTGGTCCCTGACCCTACCTGTCCTCCGTCCATCGGGGGTGCACCTGCCCTTGGCAGTGACGTCCCGGAGGACATGCAGTACGAGCTAGCTTTCCTGTTTGAGGCCGCGCCTCATCTCTACTCCATACTGCTAGTCCCTAAGGGTGACCTAGACGCCCTTGACATCGCGACCCCTCGCCCTTACGCTCAGGCGACCTCGAGACCCTGGGCTTCTAAATGGATAGCTGCCATGGATGCGGAGATGGCATCTTGTAGATCCACCGGCACCTACATCAACGCAGTTACCCCACCTGGGATGAATGTAGGCGATGGCCGGTCGCTGTTCAAGGTGAAGTGCCCTCCTAGAGAGCCGCCGGTGTTAAAGGCGTGCTACGTTGCTAGAGGCTTCAGCAAACGCGAGGGTGTTGACTTCTTCCAGACCTTCGCCCCCACCCCGAAGATTACCATTCTTCGGGTGTCGCTTCATGTAGCAGCACAGCGCGACTATGAGCTGCACCTCTTGACTTCTCCACAGCGTTTCCTAGGCAGTCCACACGAGCAGGTCTACCTATGCTGGCCACCGGGCTTATCTGGCTCTTTCCCTCCTGGGACCGAGTGGCTCCTCCGACGCCCGATTTACGGCTAGTGCCAGGTGCCTCGTGAGTGGCACGACACGCTGCGTACTATGCTAGCTCACCTACAGTTCTCCACGTCCTCTGCAGACGCTTTGCTCTTCGTTCATTTGGGCCTGACCCCGTTCTACATCCTTGTCTACGTAGACGACGTGGTCTTCGCTACTGCAGATAGCGAAGCACTGGCCTCCGTGAAGGCTGAGATGCTGAGGAAACAGATCTACACTGACCTATAAGAGTTGCGTCGCTACCTTGGCCTGTAGATCATCAGGGACAGAGCAGCGCACACCATCACTCTCACCCAGTCACACTTGGTGCGCCAGGTCCTTCAGAGGTTCGGTCAGCAGTTCTCCTCTGCACAGCCCACACCTCTGCCAGTAGATCACAGGCTCTCCACTGCAGTCCTTGACGAGTCAGTAAAGCCTAGTGGTCTGTACGCAGAGCTGGTAGGTTGCCTCATGTACCTGATGACTTACACTGGTCCAGATCTCGCATACCCTCTCAGCATCCTGGCTCACTTTGTGGCGACAGACAGACACCGACCACAACACTGGTCGGCCGCTAAGAGGGTTTTGCGTTATCTAGCAAGTACATCGAGCATGGGGCTAGTGCTAGGAGGACGCAGGCTGGTGGTCCTTACAGGGCACGCAGACGCTTCGTGGGCGGACGACGCTGAGACGCGCAAGTCCTCCCAGGGCTACTGTTTTAGCCTTGGTGCAGGCGCCATCTCGTGGAGGTCCACCCGCTCGTCGTCTGTTGCACAGTCTAGCTGTGAGGCTGAGATATACGCAGGTGCCATTGCGGGACAGGAGCTCCGTTGGCTGACTTTCTTGCTCACAGACTTAGGTGAGCGGCCTAGCTGTGCCCCGGTCCTGTACGCCGAGAACGGGACCATAACTATCCTATGTGAGGAGCCTCGACTAGAGGGCAGAGCGAAGCACAGCCAGCTACCGTACTTCCTTCTGCGTAAGCTACAACAGCACCGCCAGGCGCGCGTAGTAGACTTGGCCTCCGATGCCAACACTGCTGATATCTTAACTAAGGTGCTTGTGCCTAAAGATCATCAGCGGTACTGTGTACAGCTTGGTCTAGTTCCAGTAGCTCTTCATTTGCTATGACCCTTGTTGTGTACTCCTTATATTATCTTGAGTTGCCTTGTGGCTCTTGTTCCTGTGGAAGGACTAGAAGTGCCGCCCTGGGTTACTCTTGTCTAGCTTGTACTTTTGTTGACTGGACTAGTAGTGCCGCCCTGAATTGCATGTCTCTCGCTAGGCAGTGCCCCTTGTCTGGCATAGGGGGTGTGTCAACTCATACATAATTGCATATGTAGCAGCTATAGGCTAGAAGGGTTCGTGCTCTTAAAGAGTACAACACCCAACCATATATTCCCTTGTACACCTTCATTCTAGTCATTCGATTACTCTATGAACACCCCCATACCCAGCAGCAGCTGTGGGATTCTGCAGTGGGTCGACCCCTCGGCATATGAGCCGGCGACGTCAGCGGCGGGGGCAGCGGTAGTGGCGGTGGCGGCGACAGCGGCAGCTGTGGGTGGCAGGCGGCGGCGGAGCCAGTAGTACATGTGGCGGTGACGTTGACGACTTCGGCGGTGGCGGCGCCGAGGCACACGACGGCGTGGCACGCTTGGCGATGGCGGGGGAGGACGGACACGAGACCGCCAGCAATTGCGCCAGGTCTTCGGCGGCGACGCCCGTTAACGAGCCGTCCTGACTGGTGAGGTGGCTGGCGTGCAGTCATGGTGGCTGGAGCTAAATCAGCGTGCTGGCCGTCCGTGCGCTGGCGCATGGAAGCCGCCAGGGCAGCACGACGAAGCCGCCAGGGTAGCACGACGAGGCTGCCACGGCAGCGCGTCGAGGCCTCCATTGCAGCGGGACGTGGCCGTGACGACGATGTGACAGAGGGAGGAGGAGTGCGTAGCGGAAGCGTGAGGGGGAGGCTCAGCAGGAAGGACCTGCTCTGATTCCATCTTAGAGTAACAAAGTAGGGGTTTAGCTAGGTAGGAAAGAAGTGGCGAGAGAAAAGAGAGGTTGGACTAGTGAAGAAAGAGAGGTACAAGAAGTGGGTTGTCCTTTCTACTGTAAGAACCAGAACTTGTAGTGCACCTGCCTAGCCTACATACATATATTTAAATATATATGTTGGCAACTTGGCATGCTGTTCAGTATTAGGATAGCACGATTCGCAAGCGTGTGGCATGGTTCGCATGATTTGTTTCGACGGAATTGATTGGCATGCCGGATGTACGCGGCGTGCCAAGTGTTGTTCGCGAATTTGATTGAGTCGATCCACCTATCACAAGGCCCTTGAGTGACCAAATTGGCTTATGGTCATGACTCGATAAGAAGGTTTATTCACAATGTTCAAGAACCCATTTTCCATTGTTGGTACTGAATACTACTTGTAGGAATACACCATCATTTTGGATCCATTTTCATGAAACATAGGTACCTCTCAACTGTGGACGTCTTGGAATCAGCCTTCCAGCTTATGATTCTAAGACACCAACAAATAGCGAATGATACATGTATTCCTAAGAATCACTTCCTAAGCCATGTATGGAAGTGCATAAGTACTAGTAAACTTTCAGTCATCTCCATCGACGCAATGGGCCATTGGATATCTGAGCAATCACATGTCTGACTGGGTCTACCTACCACTGTTGACTATCTTCTGGTTTATTTTGATGATGTGTGTGATTTTCTTTTATGCATGGATGAACCTTTGCCACTTCAAACTATGACTACACCTACCCTGCGGTAATGTTATACCCTGAAACTGGGCGGCAAAAGGATTTTTGTTTTCATCCTGACCATTTCTGAGTGCGTAGACAGTACCCCCTTGTTCCCTCGGCCTAAGCCTGGCAGACTCCACGCGGGCAAAAACTTCGAGCAACGCCTAAGCTGACGTCAAGTTTCCAGACTCCAGAAACACTAAATCGAGCAGTAATGTTTCGTAAAGAAAACCGAGCTAAATTTGCTTTTCAAGGGTATCCAGATCTAGTCTTGAGGAGCTGTTTTCGGGGGATGAATATCCTCTGGGCGGCACCCCCTGTGAAAATACTGGGTGTAAAAATACCGCGGGCTAGGTGTACCTGAACCCTTGACAGGGATAAACTGTTGTGCAATGACCAAGTCAATTTTTCCAGACACCACACCACACCACTCCCCGAGCAGCCGAGCCTTCGTGCGATTCGTGACCAGGCTTGACGACTGGTCTGAGAGCAGAACTTGACCCCCCCATGTAATTAAATCGTTTTCCGTGATTTCACGTGAAATGGCCCAGAAGTCACGCTTAATGGGTACGGGTTTTGACCTTTACCCGGACCTAAGCTCAGGGCTTGGCTCGCTAGTGAGCTTATTGCGGATTTAACCAGTAGCTCATGACAGTAAGCATTGAGATGCCAGGCTGAGTGGTACAGTACATGGCTATCTTTGGCTATTACGAAGAATTCGAGCCACCACTTGCTGATCCCGCAAGTATGGGAAAAATGGGCAAATGGGAAGGGGGAGGCGGGGGGAGTGGCAAGGGGAGACCTCGGCTTAAGACCGAGATTCAGATAAGGGGCGAAGTGGCAGCTTAACGAATCCAGAGAACGGCCCTAAAAGCCCTTAAGCATTATGGGCGTTCCCTGAATATGGCACTTCAAATCAGGAAGCTAGGCAAGGGCAGAAGCGAATATTCAGGGCAGTTACTCTTGAAACAACAAACCAGGTTGCGATGCCGCGATACATACCAGCCTTCCTGAAGTACCCCTGGACACGAGGCGCCCTCGTTAGCATCTGTTGCGTTGTCACAAGGCAATACGTTCAGGCCAATCAAAACGTGTCCATGTCACAGCACAAGTTTTCCAAGCTTGACGTACAGGCTGGGCCGAACGATAGAATGCTGAGGGAGGTGGTTCGTCGTACGTCGTCCAAGCCGTGGCTACCTGGTCAGGGGAGGCGGCGCGATTGGTGTAGAAAAGCGGCGCCCACCACAGTGCAAACCATTCTTTGTCCTTGAGCCCCTTTTTCTTGTGCTTACTCTCCACCACTCTCCTTGTCTTCCATTGTCCATCCAACTATGGCTCGTGGTTTGTCGCCACTGCTTCTGGTGCTTCTCATCACCGCCACCGCATCATGGCGTATGTCTCCTCTCTTGGGCGCCGAGGCGAAGCGGCTGAGCAAGGCATATTACAAAGACTCGTGCCCGTACCTCGAGACGATTGTTCGCGAGATCGTCATTGACGAAGTTCGCAAAGATCCCACCACCCCCGCGCCACTTCTTCGCCTCCACTTCCACGACTGCTTCGTCCAGGTGCGACTTGCAGCGCATTCTATTCAACTCTATGTGTTCGTTTGTTTTGTCGTGGTGGCTCATCTACATTTCGCATCCAATGCGTCATCCATTCCTGGTCTCGCCTGCACGCCGCAGGGTTGCGATGGCTCGGTGCTGCTCAAGTCGACGCCGGGCAACAAGGCGGAGATGGACGCGCCCCCCAATCTGTCGCTGAACGGCTTTAATGTCATCGACCGCATCAAGACGGCCGTCGAGGCCAAGTGCCCCGGCGTCGTCAGCTGCGCCGACATCACCGCCCTCGCCGCGCGCGATGGCGTCCACCTGGTGAGCGCGCGCCTCAATGGCCACTACGCGCTGCGGTGGTCTCCGTTTTCTCGCCTCTTTTTGTGGTCAGACTTCGCAATCGATGCGACCAAGGTTGTTCTCCGTCTCCTGACTATCCGCCTCCTAAGCGTATCACTTTTTCTGCCTCCGCTTCCTCTGCGCCCATGACTCACGTGCAGGCCGGCGGTCCGTACATCAGCACGCAGCTGGGCCGGCGCGATTCGCGGACGTCGAAGGCGGCCCTGGCGGTGCAGTTCCTGCCGGGGCACCAGATGGACGTGAACGCGCTGCTCAAGAACTTCGCCGCCATCAACCTCACGCTCGTCGACCTCGTCACGCTCTCCGGCGGCCACACCATCGGCGAGTCGCACTGCGACACCGTTGCGCACCGCATTGCGCCCAACCGCGACCCGACGATCGCGCGGTCCATGCGCAAGTACCTGGAAGGGCACTGCAAGGCGCCCAGGGTGGATGGCACCATCCCCGTGGTCCTCGACATCAAGAGCGCCAAGCGCTTCGACAACCAGGTATGCAACCCTCAAATGCACCGCGTCAAGACTTCTCTGGAGGAAGGAGAATTACCCTTTCTCGCTCAATCGAGTTACGTGCATGCAAAAGACGCCTGCACCACAGCATGAACTAACTTTCTATGCTTCCTCTGCCCCTCGCGCCCTCCCCCGCGTCCGCTCCGCAGTACTTCAAGAACCTGCAGCGCAAGTTCGGGCTGCTGTCGAGCGACCAGGTCCTGGCCATTGACTCGCGCACCAAGGAGCTGGTGAACCAGTTCGCGGCGGACAAGAAGGGCTTCTTCCGCAACTTCCGCCGCTCCATGGTGCGCATGGGCTCCTTCGGCGTTCTCACCGGCCGCAATGGCGAAATCCGTCGCACCTGCAGCGTTGTTAACTGAGCAGGCGCGAGCGAATGCGGGGTCTGGGTAGCGCTGGTTGTTTGGTGACTGGTAGAGGGTAGGATGTACGGCTGGGATAGGGAGGGTGGTTGCAGGGGAATGTAGCGGGTGATGCTGGATCACTGCCTTGTGGACTGCGCCGCTGCACTTAGATTGGCATGACCATGTCCTTAGGGATGGAAATAAAATCTTTTCTGAGTGCAATTTCTGTTTTCATGGACAAGGATGGGGAAGGAGCTGGCCTCAGGTTTGCAGCCTTCCTGACATCGACCTTCCTAAACCCCGGGAATGTAGCCCGACTAAGTGCTCTTCCAAAGTGGCTTCGGGTCGCTTTTTGAGTAACGAACCGCAAACAAAAATACTTTGGACACAGCCATTTCATACAACCGAAATGAAACTGCGAGCTGATGTCCATTGGGAGGGGACCATTTGTGAGGCTGGATTCTAGCGTGGCTCATTCATTATTTCGAAAAATGCGCACATCCCCCCGCAAATTGTCATTCTGTACAAAATAGCGTGTGGATTTTTCGCACTTACGGACAGAATGCCTGATTTTCCAGTCTGGGTTTCGTTACTGGAACTGAACGCGAGCTTGCCGTTTCAGTTGTGCAAAATGATACCCAGCTTGAGCCAAAATCCTCTAGTGGCACTCAGGAAGCGCCCTTATCTTCGCACAAGATGTCACCTCTACAAATGGCAACCCAAACTGAAGCACAATGATCGGTACGGTAGTAGAGCAAACCAAGCCCCATAAATTAATGCAGTCTTCACACCAGAGATAAAAACAAGCAATGTTACCTACCATATCAAGCCTGAGCAATGTTGGGAGATGAGCAGAGTGCTACGTGCATCGTGCAACATCATCACTGCATGTGCAATTTAAGTGCATCGTCGCTGGCGGAAGCATGCACTGGCAATGCGAGGCACGAGGGAATGACTCGCAGCACCACGACGGTGGCATGCACCCAAGCAAGGCAGCGGTGGCAGGGAAGCAGTGCCTGATGTGCGAACTGTCTTCTCAAGCATGGGCTGCCACACAGCAAGGAGCCTGGGCTAGCAGCACAATTAATATGCTACACATGGCCTGGACCTGCAATTGCCGATGGCACGAGGGGGGGAAAAAGAAGATGATTAGGGCGTGGCATTTATCACGAAAATTGCAAGAGTTCAAATGGTAGACACTGCAACACACACAAACGTGTAGAACCGCTCTCCAAGTTCAAACTTCAGGATCTTCCGAACAAAATGTAGCACGCCCTCAGTGCACCACACTAAGCGAATGAGGGGAGGAAAGATGCGCTGTGTGAACCCACACATACACATGCTTGAGCAAGTGCATGACTGTGCATGTGTACATGTGTGTGTGTGTGGGGGGGGGGGGGTGTGTGTGTGTACGTGTGCATGCGTGCGTGCGTGCGTGTGTGTGTGTATGCGCACGTGCACGCGAAGGCATGTGCGTATGTGGGTGGAGTGGGAGCGAGTGCTTACGGAAGCGCTCGTACTCCTGGCGGTTAGCTCCCACGGATTGAGGCGCCGTTGACACCAGTAGGTCTGCAGCATGCAGGATGAGGGACGACATGGCAGCCCATGCAAAACAAACAGGATAGCAAAGCACGAGGGCGGGAGGAGGGGGGAAGAAAGGACTTGAGAGGAATAGACACGGAGGAGAGGAGGAAAGTGGAGTATGCGGAATGCGAACCATGCGCAACGATGGGATGTGTGAGAGCTGTGAGCCTGGGACACGTAATGCCAGTGCATGGTAGGGGCTGTAGCATAGCGTACCTTCATGGTCAGGCGCGCTGCTCTTGTGGGTGATGACGATATACGCAAGGCCAGCAGCAGTCACCACCACAATGAGCAAGCCGATCACAATGGCAGCAATGGCGCCTCCAGACAGACCCCCGCTGCTGCTGCTGGTAGTCGTGGTGTTGGTGGCGTTGGTGGACACAGGGGGCAGGCGACCGGGCCCAACAGGACCGAACGGCGGCAGCGGCGGCACTGTCCCTGGTGGTGGTAGCGGCAGCGGTGGTGATGGTAGCGAGCCTTTGGAAGAAACCGGGACATTGAAAAGGAAGGGAAGGCAGGATGGAAGGTGGAAATTGCAGGAGATTGGACCATAGCAGGAGGTTCGATCAGAGCAGGAGGCTGGATCAAAAGAGCAAACGCAGGACAGGGGGCTGACACTGCAGTGTTGGGCGTGGTGTCCCTCTATCCTCGCTCATCACACACACATGGCCCAACGCACCTGGGCTCATCTGTGGGGGACAGATGCTGCAGAACTGCAGGCAGAAGTCGCAGAAGGCGGACGTGGGGTCAGGCTTAGCCGAGCAGGCGAGCGGGTTGTCGGGGCACTGCAGGAACGTTTCGTTCACGTTGCTGGGGAGAGCATGGCAGGGAGGGCATGCATGCAGTGCGGATGAGCACGGTGGTGTGGGCAGTGATGGGCGAAAGGAGGAGTTGCAAGAGCGAGGGGAAGTGCAGGAGGGGCAGAGGTGCTGACAACATGTAGAGGCTGGTGAGGTTGCCGAGGGTGGGAGGGATAATGCCCTTGAGCTGCAAGTTGACACTCAGATCCCTGCAGAGGGGCGAGCCGTGAGAGGCACATGGAGATGCAGTGCAGCAAGTGAGGGGGGAGATGGCTGAGGAGGGGAGTTGCATGGACGGCAAGGCAAGGTGGCGGGTGACGCGCGTGGGAAAGGACAAAGGACCCACATGACATGGCAAGCACGGCAGCAAGGGCAAGCAGGGGAACGCAAAGAAGAACCCAAAGAAGCAGCCTCACAGAAACTCCAGCTGGTACAGCTGGCCCAGCTGACGTGGCAAGCTGCCATTGAAGCCATTCTCGGCGACGTCACTGACGGGGAGAGGCACAGGAGAGAGAGACAGACTCATGGGTTTAGGAGTGGAGTGCACTGGATGGGGCGAGGGTGAAGATAGAGAGAGCAGCAGTAGGATGCTCGGGAGCCCATTGCTGTACACACCCCATGCTTCTCCCTTGTGCTTCTTATGAGGCTAAAACAAAGGACCATTTGAGAGAGAGCGGTGGGGTGGCAGTGGCAGGAGCTCACAGGACATAGAGGTCTGCAAAGTCACCGAGGAAGTCAGGCAGCGAGCCGTTCAGAATGTTGTGGGCCACGTTGCTGGTGCCAGTGGGGAAGGGGAGAGGGGGCAGGAGTTGGCAGGGAGGCGATCATGACAGAGGCATCATGGCAGGGTGACACAGAGCCATGCGCGCTTGTGCGGGGCTGCAGCGGAGTGCGTTTTGATGGGAGCATGAGTGGCAGTTGAGGGTGCAGCGGGCGAAAGCATGGGTGGTGCGTGGGGCTGTGAGGTGAGCTGACAGGATTCGCAGTTTGGTGAGGGCGCTGAAGGTCGCCGGGATGGGCCCCTGCAGATAGTTCATGGACACGTCCCTGCACAGGTGGCGCATGGGGAGGGCGGGGAGGGGAGCGGACGGCATGCATATGGTGAGGGGGTGACGGAGCAGCACAGCGGCAAGGAGTGTAGGGCAGTGGCGCGCACACCGCGTGCTGTGCACGGGCCTTGCAGCAACAGCAACGAGGTAGCAGAACCAACGGAGCAGTGTGGGTACAGGCCAGGTGCGGTGAAGGGCAGGGGGAGAGGCGAGTGGGATGGAGGCATGGCAGAGAGCCCTTGAAGGCCAAGCATGGCCATCGGTCGGATGGCATGTGTGGCGAAGGTGTGGCGAGGCATGCCATGCGTGGTGAGCGCTCACAGGACTTCCAGCAGGGTCAGCGCGCCGAGTGCAGAAGGAATGGTGCCCTCCAGCTGGTTGTTTGCCAAATAACTGTCCTTGTGGCAGGGCATGGCATCACATGGCATGGGGCAGCAGGGCATGTGAGGCATGACGTCATTGCTGTGTTGCGGCGAGGACTGCTCGATAGCAGGTGCGAGCAAGGCAAGGCGGCTAGAGAAGGCACGGTGCTGGCAGGGCCATGGGGATGCGCAGCCCCACGGCTCAGCAGCGAGCAGCGAAGCAGGAGAAGCGAGTGTGAGGCGCATGCGGTTGAGAGAGGCAGGCAGACTTACATGGATTGAAGGCTGGTGAGAGCGCTCAGTGATTTGGGAATGGCGCCCGTGAGGTTGTTGCTTGACAGCACACTGCATGGCATGGCAGGGCAGGGCAGGCTCATTGCATGTGACTCGGGTGTGGTCCACATTGGACCTGAGCCTGGGCACTGCAGTGCTGGAAACGAGCATGCGGTTGGGAGGAGCATGCGGTTGGGAGGAGCACGCGGTTGGGAGGAGCATGCGGTTGGGAGGAGCACGCGGTTGGGAGGAGCATGCGGTTGGGAGGAGCATGCGGTTGGGAGGAGCACGCGGTTGGGAGGAGCATACGGTTGGGAAAGGGTTGCGGTTGGGAGGAGGGTGCGGTTGGGAGGAGCAGCCTTACATGGTTTGAAGGCTGGTGAGAGTGCTCAGCCACTCAGGAATGGTGCCTGTGAGGTTGTTTCTCGATAGTGCCCTGCATGATAGGGCGACGTAGGGCATGGTAGGGCATGGTATGGCATGATACGGCATGGTATGGCATGCTATGGCATGGTATGGCATGGCAGGCATGGTATGGCATGGTATGGCATGGTATGGCATGGTACGGCATGGTACGGCATGGTACAGCATGGTATGGCATGGTATGGCATGGTATGGCATGGTACGGCATGGTACGGCATGGTATGGCATGGTATGGCATAGGGCATGGTATGGCATGGTATGGCATGGTACGGCATGGTACGGCATGGTATGGCATGGTATGGCATGGTACGGCATGGTACGGCATGGTATGGCATGGGGCATGGTACGGCATGGTACGGCATGGTATGGCGTGGTATGGCATGGTATGGCATGGTACGGCATGGTACGGCATGGTACGGCATGGTATGGCATGGTATGGCATGGTATGGCATGGTACGGCATGGTATGGCATGGTATGGCATAGGGCATGGTATGGCATAGGGCATGGTATGGCATGGTATGGCATGGCATGGCATGGTATGGCATGCTACGGCATGGTATGGCATGGTACGGCATGGTATGGCATGGTATGGCATAGGGCATGGTATGGCATGGTACGGCATGGTATGGCATGGTATGGCATGGTATGGCATGGTATGGCATGGCATGGCATGGTATGGCATGGTATGGCATGGTAGGGCATGGTACGGCATGGTATGGCAAGGTATGGCATGGTATGGCATGGTATGGCATGGTACGGCATGATATGGCATAGGGCATGGTATGGCATGCTATGGCATGCTATGGCATGGTATGGCATGGTACGGCATGATACGGCATGGTATGGCATGGTATGGCATGGTACGGCATGGTACGGCATGGTATGGCATGGTATGGCATGGTACGGCATGGTACTGCATGGTATGGCATGGTACGGCATGGTACGGAATGGTATGGCATGGTATGGCATGGTATGGCATGGTACGGCATGGTACGGCATGGTACGGCATGGTATGGCATGGTATGGCATGGTACGGCATGGTACGGCATGCTACGGCATGCTACGGCATGCTACGGCATGGTATGGCATGGTATGGCATGGTACGGCATGGTACGGCATGGTACGGCATGGTATGGCATGGTATGGCATGGTATGGCATGGTATGGCATGGTACGGCATGGTATGGCATGGTACGGCATGGTATGGCATGGTACGGCATGGTACGGCATGGTACGGCATGGTATGGCATGGTATGGCATGGTACGGCATGGTATGGCATGGTATGGCTTGGTATGGCATGGTATGGCATGGTATGGCATGGTATGGCATAGGGCATGGTATGGCATGGTATGGCATAGGGCATGGTATGCATGGCAGTGGAGCGTAGTACACATTGGAGAACATGGGCCTGGTTAACGAAGCAGAACAAAGGCAGCAGGAGGGGCGGGAATGGGTGGGGGCGTACATTTCCTGGAGAGCGCCCAGCCTGCCCAGGGAGGAGGAGATGGACCCCGACAACCGGTTGTGCCTCAGCCCTCTGCACGCCCTCGCACAAGTTCCGCAATGGCGCACGCATGGGGAATCATGGGCCCAACATTGAGGTGAGGGGAGGGCGAGAGGGGAGGGCGTGCATGGAACGAAAGTGCAGGCGGCAGGACCTAGAGAGCACGGTGGGGCACGGGGATGGGTGCGTGCATGCAATGGGGTGGGATAGGTGCACGCACAGGATTTCGAGGGTGGTGATGTTGCCCAGCTGCGCCGGGATGATGCCACTCAGGTTGTTCACGCCGAGGGCCCTGCCATGCACGCACGGGGCGGTGATGACACGCACATAATTTGGCACGTTGGGGGCACATAGGCATTGATATAAAAACAGAAGAGCACGGTTTGCATGCTGGTTTGTGGCATTGATGTCCACCTCACAAGCCCCTCCCACAGCACACCCCCTCATCACTACACTTCCCCCCCCCTCCCCCTCTTCCCTCCCTTCACCACATTCCGCTCCATCCTCCAATGTTCACAACCCCACTGTGCGCACTCACAGGAAGACGAGGTTGGGGAGCTGGCCGAGGGAGGGAGGAATGGGTCCCGAGAGGCTGTTGTTCATCACGGACCTGCCACAAGCACACACACAGCACGCACACACCACATGGGGTGCCGTGAGCCCATGTGTGGCATGCAGTGCATGGCATGGCATCGATGGCAGGAAAGGCGGTGAGTGCAGGAGAGCAGCAGGCGCAGGACGCACAGTTGACGCAGCCCAAGCAGGTTGCCCAGCGACGCAGGGAGGGGGCCCTCAAGGCGGTTGGTGCCAAGATCGCTGCACACAGATGTGGCCCGCAGCAGACGACCACGGAGATGGGGGGTTACCGTGAAGAAAGAGACGCAACCAACGGGACATAAGGGGCAGGGGGAAATACGGGTGGAAGAGCGTGTGAGAGGGAGGGAGGAAGGGAAGGACAATAGGTGGAATAGTAAGAGAATATAAGAGTGAAATGCAGACTCTACAGCCATGTTGGAAGGCGGGACAAGTGAGATGCTTACAGGGATGTGAGCTGAGTGAGAGCGCTTATGGCCTCGGGAATATATCCGGTCATGTCACACTCAACCAAGTTCCTGCTCACCCACGCGCCATGGCGCCTCATGCACATGCACACACCGGCACAGCAATGCACATCCCAGGGGCAACGCAATGTGGCATGCGAGGACGAGAAATCGGAAAGAGGAGAACAAGGGTTTAGAGTTAATAAAACAAACCAATTGAGGAGAACAAGGGTTTAGAGTTAATAAAACAAACCAATTGAGGAGAACAAGGGTTTAGAGTTAATACAACAAACCAATTGAGGAGAACAAGGGGGGAGAACAGGTAAGAGCAGTGGGAAGGAAGATTGGTCGTGATGAGCTGGAAATCAAGGGGTAAGTGTTGGTGCGTGCGAGGTCGAGTGTGCAGCGGAGGGCGAGGAGCACTGACAGCTCCTGCAAATTGGTGAGGTTGGCGATGGACATAGGGATGCTGCCCCCGATGCGAGTCAGAGACACATCCCTGCATGGATGGCACGTTGCGGATGGAGATTGGGCACGATGGGGATGGGGATGGGGATGGGGATGGGGATGGGGATGGGGATGGGGATGAGGATAAGGTAAAGCATGAAAGAGAGGGGAAATGAATGTGAAAGGGTGGAGCGGTGAAGATAAGGGGTTTGTAACGGATGCAGCACACAAGGCAAGGAATCAAGAGAGAGAAAAGGCAGCAAGAGAGAAAGGACGGGAGGGATAAGGAGGAGGCGGGAGAGAGGAAGGGAAGTGAGAGATACAGGGACGAGAGAAAGAGACGAGAGGGGAAGGGGGGGAGAGGGGGGGTTAGGGATGGGGCAGAGACAGGAAAGTCAAGGAGGAGAGGTGTGCGATGGAGTCAGGAATGCCGCCAGTGATGTTGCTGGAGCTCAGGTCCCTGCACACACGGCATGCAGGACCATGCGGGGCAGAGGCACGCGTGAACGGGACAACTCACACTTAAGAACAATGCTCTGGTAGGGTGTGGCATGGGAGCACAATAGAGGTTGGAGCTAAGGCACTTGAAAGAAAACGAGGACATGCTTGGCACAGAGACAGACAGGTGTAGTGAGGGGCCATGGTGGGTGCGAGCGGTGCAGCGACAAGGGCACGTGGGTGGCAGAGAGGCAGGGGCACACCAGCTGGTGGAGGTGGGAGTGAGTCTAGGGGCAGTGGGGTTGGCTTACAGGTGCTCGAGCGAGGTGAGGGCGGAGTAGGAGAAGGGAATGGGCCCTGACAGCGCATTCAGGCTCAGGTCACTGCACAGCATGGGCGCCATGGAGCACACCGGCCGAACATGGGAGGATCAGAAATGAAGCAGCCCAGCTGCAGTTAATCGAGAGGCAAAGACGAACAGACTCAGGTGGGTAGAGTTGCTGGGATGGCAGGCAGCATGGCAAAACCAGAACCAGCAGCATGAGCGCCGGCGATACATGAAGGCGAGTGCGAGGGTGGCGGGGCGGGAGTGCGGCTCACAGGAAGCGGAGGGTAGCCAGCACAGTGAGCTCCACAGGCAGAATGCCCTGCAGCCCGTTGCCCGCAAGAGACCTGAGAGGTCGGGGGGGGAGGGGGAGGGTGACGCAGAGTAAGCGGAGGTGTGGGTGCTAGAGCACATGAGTGCAGGTGAGGCATGGCAATAAGCAGCATGCAGGAACAAGTGAACAGTTGCGGTGAGCGAGGAGGTGCAGGGTGTGGCGGTAAATGGTCACAGGTCGTTGAGCTGAAGCAGCTTTGCGAGGGTGGTGGGGATGAATCCACCAAGCTTGTTGTTGTGCAGCTGACTGCAGGGAAATAACATGGGGGGCAGAGGCGAGGAAAGGTGCTCAGGCCCAGGCACACTTGTGCATGCGCACAGTATGCTAGCAGAAAGCTGTGTGCAGCTGCCACGAGCGCACATGGATGTGTAAGGCAGCAGGAGAGCAGGATGATGATGATGGGATGGGATGGGATGGGTGGCGAGCGAGAGGCACGCACAGGGACGCGAGGTTGGTGAGGGAAGTGAAGGAGTCGGGGAAGGGCCCGCTGAGCTGGCACGATGAGAGGTCCCTGGGGGGCATGGGGGGAGGGGAGGATGGTGAGAAGGGAGGGATGGGGGATGAGAAGGGGGAGATGGATGGTGAGAGGGGAGGGATGGGGGATGAGAAGGGGGAGATGGATGGTGAGAGGGGACAAGGCGAGTGGGGGCATGGAGGAGCAGGGACAGAGCGCCACATGCGCTGCCAGCCCAATGGGCACACCCACACACTTAGGGTGCAAAACCACTCCCACCCGCTTACAGGTGCATGAGCTTTGGAAGCGAGCCCAGCAGTGCAGGCATGGTGGTGTTGAGGGGGTTGCTGCTCATATTGCTGCCGGCGGACACAGCAGGGCACAGTGGGTGGGGGGGAGTTAGTGGATCAGCAGGTGGGCAGCAGGCCTGGTGAGAGGCATCCAGTGAGTGAGCATGGCGTGTGGAAGACTGTGATGATGAGAAAAACTAAGTCACCTATGACACATACGGCTCTCAGCCACACACATTCATTGAGCAAACGAGCAGATGAGAACGCGCATTTGGTGATGCGATCATACAGGTAAATCAGGGAGGCTCCCAGCCCGGTTATGCTGTCTGGAATAGCGCCGCTGAGACGGTTGCGCTGCACGCCCCTGCAAGGCATGGCAGACGCAGGCAGGGGGAAGGCAGGCTTGTGATGGGCGGGCAAAGCGTGAGGAGAGGGTTGACATAGAAGGACTTGGGGCGCAGCAAGAGATGGGTGTGGTGCAGCAGCACGCACAGGTGAGTGAGGTTGGTGAGCCCGCTGATGGCTTCTGGCAGGGAGCCCATTAGACGGTTGAAGCTCAGCGACCTGACGCCCAGGGGGACGGTGTGCGGGCACGGAGGAAGGGGTGGTTGCCGAAGAACCAGGGGGAAGGGGGGGAGAGCGATGGGTGCCAGGGAAGAGAGGAAGGAGGTGCAAGCAGAGGGACGTTGAGTGCAGGAACGCTGATGAGGGAATGGCGATGGGCGACTGATGCTCACATGGCCAGGGCTGGATGGGTGGTGGGATAGTGCCATGGGAAAGAACGTACAGCTCGATCAAGTTGGTGAGGGCGCCGATAGCAGCGGGGATAGACTCGGATAGCTGATTGCCATGCAGCCACCTGACGATGAGAAGAGCGCGGGTACCATGGAGATGTTATAACGTGCATCAAGGCAAAGTTCCGGCGTGTGTATGGGCAGCATGAGCATCAACGGGCGCTGTGAGCATAAAGGAGAGAGCGAGGAGGGCCAGGGCGTGCAGCATGGCGTGGGGGGCGGACATACAGGGTCTCAAGACTCGTGAGAGCAGAGATGGTGTCGGGAATAGGCCCGTCAAGGGCGTTGTTGCTCAGGTTGCTGCAGCGGTGGGGAAGCATGGAGAGGCGGCAAAAAGAAGAGCCATGTGAGCGAGGGATACCAGGCGGATGTGAGCAAAGGGCTGGCAGGCGATGGTGTGGGACCGAGTGGTGCGGGACTGGTAGCTGAGTGATGGGCACCAATGGGCACATGGGGTGATACGCGCCCGTGACAGCGCGTAGCAAGCAATGGTGCAGTGCAGTGGCATGCGCTATGAGCTGGGCGCAACATCCCTTTTCCAACCATGGGCACGGCAACTGCATCAATGACTCACAGCGACTTGAGATTCTGCAGTCCCGATATGGTCATTGGAATGGGCCCCATCAACGCATTGTAATCCAACGCTCTGACAACGGCAAGTGCCCAGGGTCAATGGGGGGAAGAGGGGGTGAGAGCTAGTGGGAAGACGTAGAGCGAAGAGGGGGAAAGAGGCCAGCGGAACTGGTGGAAGAGGAGTGGAAAGGAAGCAGGGGCGGGGTTGGAAGGAGTGGTACAGGTAGGAGAGGCTGACGAGGGTGCCCATGCCAGACGGGAGGGTGCCGTTGAAGGAGTTGTTCTTGAGCGACCTGCACGCACACGACCACACAGCACACACAACTGCGTTGCTTGGAATGCAGCACAAGAGCCGCGATGAGCGGGTGCGAGGAGGGAAACGAGAGGAGGTGGAAAGAGAGGCAGCGAGCAGGCAGGGGGCGGTTGGAGCTGGCGGTGTGATGGGCAAGCGCGACTCACAGATGTGTGAGGATGGTGAGTGCTCGGAGGGCGCTGGGAATGGGACCCGAGAGATTGTTGTGCGCGAGATTACTGGAGAGGACAGTTGGGCGGAGGGAAAGAGGGACGGGCTGGTTGAGGCGATAGTGGCCATTGGAGGATTAAATACAAGTCCTACGAGAAGACGACGCTTCCGCCTGGAGTGAAGACGACGCTTGCACGTGCAGAGATTGCAGGCGCGGGGTACATCCACCGTCCACGGACACGCAAGCAAAACTTGTTGCGGCACCGCGACAACGCGGCACAGTTGAGAGAGCCAAGTCAGTTGGCACCATCCAGGAACGAAGAGCATAGCGGGAAGCGGTGGGAGGGCGACTGAAGGGGCATGCGAAGACGCACAGATGCTGGAGATTCGTGAGCTGGCTCAAGACAGGGGGGATGATGCCCGACAGACTGTTCTGCTCCAGCTGCCTGGCGTGGGCGGAATAAACACGGCAACGAATCGAGCACATGGGTGGGTGACAGTAGACGACATGCCCGCGCATGGGACCCACGAATTCATAGACACAGCTTCGGCGTACACGCCCGCTGCGCGAAGCAAGGCAGTGGCATGGGTGAAGCAGCAGCATGAGAATGGCAGGTGATGAGGTGCGTACAGGGTGTCAAGCAGCGGAAGGTTTCCCAAGGAGAGTGGGATTTCTCCCGTCAGCTCGTTCCCAATGAGGTCCCTGCCATGCACGGGTGACGGCCACGGGCAGGGAGAAGGCAATACGCAGCACAGAAGGATTGTGCACAGTTGCAACTTGATAAAGACAACGGACGAGCGCGCAGGCATGCGGGAGTGAGAGGGTAGTGAGCGCAGTGAGTGAGGGTGCAGGGCTTACAGCACGGAGAGAGTGGCGATGGCGCCAATGCTGTCTGGAATGGGGCCCAGCAGCTGGTTCGAGCTCAGCTGCCTGTGGGGGGGCACACGTGGCAGACGGCCAGGCAACACACACACACAGGCTGGGCACGGCATATGTATGACACACCCACGCTCATCCACTTCCCCTTATCTAATCCCTCGCTTCCTCATCCCTGCACAACCCACACCGCCGTCCTATCCCACTCTGCACCACTCTCCCTCCCGCTCTTACCCCGCACCACAGCCGTGCCGTTCCCTCAGAGCCTGTGTGGGTCATTCGCAGCACGCCACGCACGGAGGGCCGCAGCGAGAATGCAGGCAGCGCTATGCGGGGCAGAGAACGGTGCGCGCGCGCAAGGGGTTGGCAGTGAAGGGAAAGCAGGAGCGGGACTCACAGCGTGCCGAGGCGGGTGAGCTTGCTGAGGGCGTCGGGGATGGACCCCATCAGGTTCACGCTATCCAGCACCCTGCACGCACCCACGCACGTCAGTCAGGGGGGCAATGCTGCAGCATGGCGACACAGCAAGGGGCGGTGACAAAGACTTCAAGCGTGAATATTGCACCAGACATTCACCTCTACCACCCGCGTGCATTCATCGCGGACTTCCCGTGATTCACAACGCGGCATTTTCAGACAGTCGTCTCTAGAAAGCGTGCACTCGCATCTCGGCGGCACTCTACCTTAGTCCGCGGCACGGCGCGCTCACAGCTTTAGGACATTGCCGTTGTTGTCGCAGAAGATCCCCGTGGAGTTGCAGTCGATGACGTCCGTCCATCCGGTGAAGTTCCACGCCTCCTGGCACACCTTCAGCGCGCCCTCTGGAGGGGGACGGGGCGCGCATGCCGTCGAGCAAGCAATGGGGCGTGAATGAGCAGCGCTCGCTCACGACGGTGCCTTGGGGCAGGATGGCACCGGTCGCCAGCCGATATTACAAGAAAACGAACGCCTGAACAAGGCTATCGCAGAAAGCGGCGAGCAATGCGGTCGAAGCGCAGCATCAGATCCCTGCGCCTGGAGCCACGGCGAACATGCGCCGCCATTGCGCTGCCGTGCGCGGTGCAGCCGTGGCTCGCATCAGGTCGCTGCGCTGCACACGGCGCCATCCGCACCCACACGCCACTTACCCTGTACCGGCTTAATAGGCAGCGCGTCCCCGGATCCTGCGAGACTCGTCGCGACGACCACGAGCAATAAGGCGGCTAGCATCCGCACTCTAGGCGCAACCATAACAGACGAATGCCGCGGCTTCCAACCATAGTGCGCCATCTGGCTCGGATGAACGACAGTCAGTTGAGCTCTCCAGCAATGGCGTACCGGAAAGCTTGTAAGCAACCGAGGAGGTAAGAATTCAAGAAGACGTTCATGCAGATACCGTACTGCAGTAGTTGGTGTGGAACCAATAATTTCACGAATTCGGGAGATGGCTACAACTCTGCTAGGCATCTGCTAGGGTCAGTCCTCCCAGGCGACGATGGAGGTAGGACGTTCAGGTCTCATGGGACGTTCAGTAAAGGCTGACCGAAGTTCGGTTCAGGTCGAACAGCAGATAGGGCGTCACAACGGGGTCGGCTCGCTCAACCATCAGTGTGCAGCGAGATGATGGGTGGGTGGGATGTGGTGTCCGAAAGCTGGTGCAGAAAACGCTCTTCGGTCTCCGTACAAAACGACCAGTGCCTCGAGGCACTGGGTTCGTCCAACCCACAGCACAGAACTCCCCTTCCTCCCCCCACCCCCCACCCTCCTCTCCGCCCCACCCCGCCCCCCAGGCCCCTCCAGTCCCCCAAGGGTGCGAGCGAACGGGTTGACCGCGGCAGCTCAGGACTTGGGAGGAGAAGGGTGGACCCGACAGCGCGGATGGGTGAGGCAAAGGGGCGCAGATGTTCGTCCATGCCTAGCACGCAAAATTCTCGGGCAGGCGAGGCAAGAACTGACCCCAGGCAAATCTGCCGGGGCTTGAAATAAATAGACCTCTCTCGCCGTGTCTAGGGGGCGCTCGTTTGTCTATCCGGAAACACTAGCGTCGAATAAATTAGCATAAAAATGGCACACATACAAGGCTCCTAAAAGTTACCACCAATAACAAGCCAAATTCAAAGCAAACCAACGAATATAAAATCCCAATGGACATGACACCTTAAATAAAGGTGAACCAAGTGATAACTAGTCTCGAATGGGATGATCTGCAAAACATACCCATAAAACCAATTGTAAATGGCTTCCTTGAACTCCTTTTGGTACATAGTAAAGGGAACACAACAGGGACAAACTCACCAATGTCAACGTACGCCTGACGGTTCGAACCCACTGGGCCATTGCCAAGGGCATCATCCCTAAGGAGATCTGTCGTGTTTACAGGGACAGGAGATAAAGGTCAAGCTGCCATACCAACACACCAGTTGTTCGAAACAGTGGAAGCAAAACCATGAACCAAGGTTGCATGCAAAATGCTGCTTCAGAGATTGTGTTGGCAGAGATAGGGAGACTTTCACAGCAGCGAAAAGAAGAAATGGATATGCAAAATCTCAGGTTGAGGGACAGTAATGAACCTTGTTGGTCAGGCGCATTGGTCTTGTGGGTTATGACGATGTACGCAAGGCCAGCAGCAGTCACCACCACAATGAGCAGGGCGATCACAATGGCAGCGATGGCCCCTCCAGACAGACCCCCGCTGCTGCTGCTGCTGCTGGCCGTGGTGGTGGTGACAATTGGACGGTGAATGGGGCGGGTGGGAAAACCCGTAGGGGGAAGAGGTACTGTGGGAGGTGACGGGGGGGGTGATGGACCCCATGGGAAGTTGGGAGGCTGGGAGCCCAGTGGCGCTGGGGCCGCTGGGGGGATACCTGCAATCACACGTGAGGCACAGTTAAGCAGGAGGAGAGTCCGCTTAGACAAGGGGAGGAAAGCAAACTGCAGTAATGAACATACAAATTCGTGAAGGTGTTGTAACAAATAGATTGAGATGGATGGAGGACAGACCGGATCGAAGACAGCGGTGGCAGTAATTAGGGCACTGCATGCAGAAGGGCGAGAGCAGCGTCTGAGGCACGTCACAGGCGGCGTCAGTGGAGGGGCATTTGAGGGAGGTGTTCTTCACCGCACTGCCATGGTGGGGCGGAGAGGGACGAAGAGAGAAGGCGCGCCTTAGCTGCCATGTGGTGCGTTCATGTATCATGGGACACAAGCCTTGTGACATGCGGCATTGGCATGGGCGAGGGGCGCAGCACAGTGGAGGGCAGCGGTGACTGACAGCATGGTGAGCGCGGAGAGGGCGCCCAGCCCCGGAGGCAGCACGCCAGCCAGGGCACTGTTGTCAATGAGGTTTCTGCGAGGGACACAGGGGCGCATAAAATGAATAGTGAGGAGCGGGAAAGAGGAGCAGGAAAGGTGGGGGAATACTTGGGATCCTGAGATCGGTGCGGCGTGTGGCAAGCTGCATATGAGGGCAACATACATCAGTTGAAGGGCGGTGAGCGTGGAGATCGACTCGGGCAGGAAACCGTTGAAGCTGTTAGTGCTGAGGTCACTGCGGGAGGAGGGAACGAGAACAGAGGGAAAGTGATGCAGACAGCAGAGCAGGGGAGGTAAAAAGAGACAAAGGAGAGCACGGCTGGGGCTACAAAGTAGAGCAGCACAAGTAAGTGAAGGAGCACGGGAAAGACAGGAGGACGGCGAGTTAGGGAGGGGTTAGGCGAGAAGGGCTGACAGTATGGAAAGGCGTGTGAGCAGCGAGATGGTTGGTGGGAGGGGCCCTGAGAAGCGGTTCTTGCTGACGTCCCTGGGACAGAGGCACGGGTCCAAGAGGATGACGGCACAGAGGGCATGGGAGGGGTGGCGTGGGAACGCACAGGGGAAAGCAGTGGACAGGGGGCTGAGGCAAGGGGAAGATGGGAGCGTGGCAGGTCAGGGACGCAATGAGATGCAGCGGGCAGCAGCAGGAATTGTGAGGGAGAAGGGGTTGCGGGAGTAGTGAAGGGGTGCAATCGCATGGAGTGGTACTAAGGTGGGCACTGACAGCAGCTGGAGGGCAGAGAGCAGCCCCAGAGACGACGGGAGAGAGCCAGAAAAGCTGTTGTTGGTCGCTTGTCTGCAGTGGCGTGGAAAGGGTGGGTTGGTGCATGGCACGATTTGAGGAACGATGAGAACTCACTGCATCTGGTTGCTGACAAGAGAGCTGACAAGAGAGCTGACATGGAAGAGAGCTGACATGGAAGAGAGCTGACACGGAAGAGAGCTGACATGGAAGAGAGCTTGCGCAGTTGAGAGATGGAGCGAGGCAGAGTGCCAGTGAGGAAGTTGAAGCTGAGATCGCTGAGGGGATGAGACGCACACAGGCATGCAGGGAGGAAGAGCCATCGTACTGCTTTTGCCCCGCCTTTCACAAACCACAGAGCATTCTCTCCTATACCCCAAGTGCAGCGTGAAGGAACTAACGCACATTGGGAGAAAGACGCGTTGGTATGGGTTGAGAGGAGTAGAGAGTGGAATCTAGAGAACGCAATGCGTACAGGTATTGGAGGCTGGTCAAGTTGCCTATGCTCTCCGGCAAGGACCCATTGAGTGGGTTGGCCCCCGTGTTGCTGAGGTGCGCACATGTCACGCATCCGAACACATAGAGAGAGATGATGAGAAAGTGGGAAGGCGGGTGACATGCCCTGCTGTGGTGAGTGTGCACGAGAGTAGGGCGCAGAGCATGTGCGGCGCTTGAGGCGTACAGCAGGGAGAGCAGCGTGAGAGCCCCAATGGACTCGGGAAGGGAGCCGTCCAGGCTGTTGTACTCAAGAGACCTGCCATGGCCGGGAGCGAGGGGAAAGAGGGCTTTCAAGTAGCAATGAGTGGCAGCGAGGGGAAGGAGCAACCCAGGGGCACATGCGCAATGTGTGCGACCAGTGGGTGCAACAATGTCACATCGAAGAACGTGATGTGAACCCTCGTGACGGCACTCCTTGCCTCCTCTGTGCTGGAAAAGCTCTGCGCACTTCCCTGCTGTGAGCCAGCCAGAATGCACGCACGAGCAGAACCCTTGACTCCACTCAAACCACAGTCAGTCAGATGAGACGTACGTGCAGAGTGCGAGCAGCAGAGCACGGAGCAGCAGAGAACGTGCGAGTGTGCAATGGGGCATACAGGTGCGAGAGAAGGGAGAGCGAGCCGATCGAGTTGGGAATGGGGCCCTGCAGTTTGTTCGAGTTAAGGGAGCTGCAGGGAGCACAGGGGTGGAGGGGTTAGGATAATTGTAAGTGAGAGTGGGGCGGAGTTATGCGGTTGGATGACAGTGCGGCACATGGCGCTCACAGTGCGGCACATGGCGCTCACTGTGCGGCACATGGCGCTCACTGTGCGGCACATGGCGCTCACAGTGTGGCACATGGCGCTCACTGTGCGGCACATGGCGCTCACTGTGCGGCACATGGCGCTCACAGTACGGCGAGGGAGGTCATGTTGGCCATATCGAAGAGGGTGCCCGCTATCTCATTGTGCGACACGTCCCTGGAGAGAGAAAGAGAGAGAGAGGGGTGGCGAGGAGTGGGAGGCAGGAAAGAGAAGAGGTTCACAGTTCGCAGGGTGTGGACGGAGGGTGCGCAAAGACGCACAGAGGTGGCGAGCAGAGAGCGAATGGGGCAGTGCATGCGAGACTGACAGGATTGCGAGGCTGGTGAGTGATGCGAGGGCGGACGGCAGCGACCCATTGAGTGCGTTGTTGCTCACGTTGCTGCACCCACACAGGCGATCAGAGCAGCGGGGTTAGAGGGCACATGCGATGGAGAACGGCACGAGTGCATGGTGGATAGGGGCATGCAGGTGAAGGCACAGCAAATGCGACAGGGCGCAGCCTAGCAGACAGTGCAAGTTCTTGTCACGGGTTTACAAGCGAGAGGAAATTAGGCAGGAAGGTAGCGAAGGGAGAGCAGGGCGGTTGGGGGCACGAACAGCTGCGTGAGGGAGGAGGCGATGGCCGAGAGGGAGGCCGGGATGGAGCCCTGCACGCCGCTCCACCCCAGATCGCTGAGGGGCGGGCGGGCAGCAAAGGGGCATGGCAGGCACACAGGAGAGTGGGCGAGGCGGTGGAGAGCGGTGAGGGGAGTAGCGGCAGTTGGTGCAGGCAGTAGGGGGAGGAGGACGAGCTCACGCACATTGCAGGGGGGATCGCATGGGTGGGGGGAGGTCACAGGGGTGGAATCGCAGGGGGGAGGGGAAGGAGGTCGCAGGGGGGGAATCACATGGGGGGGAGGGGGGAGGTCGCGGGGGGGAATCGTATGGGGGAGAGGGGGAGGTGGTCGCAGGGGGCGAATCGCAGGGGGGAAAGGGGGAGGTGGTCGCAGGGGGGATTATCGCAGGAGAGAGGAGGGAGTGGGGTGAGAGGGCACTGACAGCTGTTCGAGATTGGTGAGTTGACTGAAGGAATTGGGAATGGTTCCTTGCAGCGTGTTGTTCCTCAGCACACTGGGAGGGCACGGCACATGGAGTGGAGGGCAGGGGCATGGTGGTCTGAGCATGGGTGGGATGAGGGAGCATTGAGATGCAGGACGTGATGCTGAGGGTATGGCAACGGTTACATGGCTCAACTGCAAGTGCAGTGGGGCAGCGGTGCAAGCAGTGCGAGCAGCAGGTGCAGTGGCGTACAGTCGCTCGAGGGTGCTGATGCTGCCCAGGGAGTCAGGAATGCTGCCGTTGATCCTGTTGTCGTTCACCTCTCTGCACCGCACGACCCCGCACAGCACACACAGTGTGGCACAAGTTTCCGGTATGACCCGTGCACTGATGACGAGGGGCACACGAGGAGGGCCTTGCTGGCTCTTGCAGGAAGCGCATGCCCATTCAACTTAAGGGTGCTCCAGAAAAGCCCTCTCTGTCCTCCTCGCTGAGAAGGCTTACATTCACTGGCCGAACCATATTCTCATCTACCCACACGGACGCACGGATGGGTGGTGCACACACGTGTGGTGCAGGGGGGGCGTGTGGGCGTGGTGAGCAGGGGCATGTGGGGCACGGGATCCGCAGGTGGGTGCAGGAGGCAGGCGGCACTCACAGGTCGACGAGGGCGGGGAGCTCTCCCAGGGCGGACGGCAGCGAGGACGACAAACCATTGTGGTGCAGGTAGCTGTGGAGCAGGGGCGCATGGAGACACTCAGGGCCACCTCAGGTGTGGTGGGTGTGACGCCATGCGAGAGGAGGAGGTTGGTGTGGGGCAGCGGCACAAAGAGTGTGGCGATATGCAGCAGCGGAGGAGGGAATAGTTCTGTGTGGTGCTGAGAGGGTGCAGGTGCGGTGTGGGGGGTGAGGTGTGGGGGTCGGGCTGGGTTTTGGCTCACAGGAATCTTAGGGATGTGAGTCCGGCGACAGCAGGTGGGATGGAGCCATTCAGCCTGTTAATGGACAGATTGCTGGCGCCAACAAGGGAGGACGGGGGGGAGCCGCGGACAAGCGAGGAGGGGTGGGCTGGGTGGGCACACACACTGTAGGAGAGGCAAGCAGGTGGTAACAGTACGGGTGAAGACACGCAGCGTATCACAACCACGGGCGTCATTCCCCTCCGCCTCACACGAAACTGAGGTTGGCCATGCGCCCCAGAGCATCGGGAATGGGCCCCTCCAGCTGGTTGCTGCTGAGGTTCCTGCCATGGCGATAACGTGCCATGCGCCGCGCACATCAAAGGTGGGGATGAAGGTCAACGCGTGAGGAGGCGGGCGCCTGCAGAGGCGCGAATGAAGGGGAGGGCATGGCGTGGAAGAGAGCGGGATAGGCTGTGAATGATAAGCGAGGAGCGGGGTGGGGGGGAGAGGAGCAGAGAGGGAGGGAGGGCAGGCGTACAGTTGTTGCAGGGCAGTGAGGGCCACCAGGGAGGCTGGGATGCTGCCACTGATGTTGTTGCTGCTCAGGTCGCTGGTGCACGCAGACACAGGCAGGCACGTGAGGACACATGTTCACGCGCACGAGACGAAGCAACAAGGCACACATGGTAGCACGCACACAGAGCAGAGCCATGGAAGCAGGTGGGAAGGACGGTGAGATGGGATGAGGGGAAGAGGGGCAGAAGCGGGGTGGGGGCTGAGGAAGGGTACATGGCAGCAAGGGCTGTGAGCGCGGCGATGGTGGAGGGAATGGAGTCCCACAGCTCGTTGCTGCCCAGCACTCTGCACACAGGGGCAGGTGGCATTCCACACAGGGGGACAGGTGGCATTCCACACAGGGCAGGCCAGCACAGACTCATTTCTTGCAGCCTTTCTATCGGCCGTGCATGCACGCGTGCATATGTGCGTGTGTGGCGCGACTCACAGGGTGGTGAGCGCTGTGAGCTGGCCCAGTTCTGCTGGCACAGGGCCCGAGAGATTGTTGTTGTACAGGTTGCTGGCAGCGGGGGCAAGCACGGGACACGCATCGCTCAACCACTTGGGGTGAGGCCAGCGGCAGCGACGACAGGGGAGAAGGGGGGAGCTCAGGATAAATAAGCAGAGAAGAAGAAGCAAGGCAGTGCGTGCTGTGATTCATGTGCATGTGAACCACGGGTGCACGCGCATTTTGGTGGCGCACTCACAGCTCGTGCAGCAGCACGAGGGCACCCAACTCCGGAGGGATGGCGCCTGACAGGCTGTTGTCGCCCAGCACTCTGACCCACGGGCGCGCAAGGAGGGCGCGGACCAAGAGGGGGAGAACAGGGAGGAGGGAGGGAAGAAGGAAAGCAGGAGGTTGGAGATGCGGGGGATGGAATGCGAGGGAGGCGTGCATGCAGGGGAAGAGGCCCTGGAGAAACAACCAGAGGCGGCATTGCATGCCATGACACGGCAAGCATAGCATGGGATTGCAGCGCGCGCTTGGAATGGGTTGAGAGCAGCACGTCAGGGAATGCGTGTGGTTACTTACAGCTTGGTGAGCGTGGCGAGAGTGGCTATGCTGGAAGGGATCGGGCCGGTCAGGTTGCTCATGCTCAAATCGCTGAGGGGCGGTGCAGGGGAGACAGCAGGGAAGGGGCGGGAGGAGAGCAGGCGGACGTGGAGACAAGTGAGGGGCATTGCACAGCAACGGGTGTGTGTCACGCACGGAGGTGCATCCATCTTCCCGCATTGCGTCCATGGGCGAGGTGCAAGCGAGCGAGTGCGAGCGAGGTCAGCACCGCTGCATCCCTCTCTGCGGCCACTGCATGCCATTCACTACATCTCTCTCCTCTCCCTCTCCCGTCCCCATCCCCTAACCCCCACCCACCCCCCTCTTCCCCGTTGCCTGGGGATGTGCGCACATGGCGGTAATCATGCCGCGCGCGTCGCACGTGAGCCCTTGCGCCTGGCTGCAGTCGCCGCCCGCCCGCCACCCCATCAGCCTTCTCCCCCACGCCTCTTCGCACGCCTGCAGGGCGGGCGCTGCGCGAACAGGGAGGGGGAGGAAAAGGGAGCACAGGTGCGACGGAGGCGAGCAGGCAGAGGGGGTCGAGAAGCGGAATGAGCGGGCGAGACAATGAAGCAGGCGGCAGCACGCGAGAACGGCGGGCGAGCCGCTCGCGTGGAGGGATGGGAGGAACATGGAGGGATGCAGATTCCGGCGAAGCCAGCTTGCGGAGTTGGTGTGGGCGCAACATGAGGGGATAGACGCGCGGGTTGGCGCAAGGAGAAGGACGGACGCGAGGGCGGCGGCCGATAGGCGAGCAGGGGACACAACAGGAAACGGAATGCCGCGTGCGACTTGAATGGCTTTTTATCAAGAGCGTTTGCTTGAATGCCACCTGCTTACGCGAACGGCACTAGCTGCTGCCTCTTCCCTCTCGCACATGCTCACCCTGCGAGGCGACTATCGGCTGTCGCGCGCTAGCGACGTCGATCCAGCCCCATGTTAGGAGCAGCGCGATTGCGAGCGGTAGAGACCGAACGGCCGCATTGTGTGCGACAATGAGCGACATTCCGACAGGCGCCGCACGTGCAGCGCGAAGCACGGGAGGTCGCCTGCAGAGTGGGGAAAGCTAGTTCAATAAGCAGGAGGCATTCGCATTCTGTGCTTGGGTACTTATTTTTTCCTTGCCTTTGGAATGGGAAGCTGCAGCGCAGGCCCCGTCGGTGGTCTTGAAACAAGCTACAGTACTCGATTGTAGTGAAAACGCCTTCTCTTGACCGACGATTGTAACCACAATGTTGCGTTCACGAAGCGCAATGCCTGGTGAGAAAGAAGTGGCGCTGGCTTCGCCACAGATCGCTCGTCAGGCTTGACCCATCCTCGCCAGCGATCGCGGACAACACCAAGGGCGCATGGCTGATACTGTATGCCATCGTTGGCTGGTTTGGGCTAGAGGGGGCAGTCCGTGGCATGGCAACGGCGACTGTGTGCCCACGCATGCATGGCCGCATAGCAGCCCTCGAGATCATCTACCCTCACACCACATCCTGTCATGCAGCCGGACCACTCGCCTTGCGTGGCTCCGAACCTCCTGATTTCAGGGAACGAACCGAACACCCCTCTCGGGCGGCGCTTCGAGGTTTGAGTGCTTCTGGCCCCGTTCTGAACCTTGATCTCGTCGCGTGCTGCATGCGACTTGGCGACGAATCCTCTTGCGACTCTCATTTTCCCGCGACGTCGCGTGACTCGAAGCAGATGGCCTCGGTGGCCGTCCACGCGGCGATCATGGAGGGTCGCGAGCTTCGGTAACCGGCTTCGGGCGTAGCCATGGCAACATGGCTTCCCGAACCAACACCAAACCAAGATCCACCTTCCCCCGAGCCCACACCGCAAGCGCGCTCCACTTTTCACCACCCAACCACTGCCTCTGGAGCCCCGGCGCGCTCGGAGTCGCACGCTGCGTCGCAGGTTCAGTCGCGCGAGCAGTTCTATCGCCATTCCAACCAGCCGCGCGGTCGGCCGACGTCCCGTCCGCGATCCCGGTCGCGATCCAAGTCAGGGCGCAAGGGCGGCAGCTCCAACAGCGCTAGCGGCGCTCCTAGCAGTAGTAGCTGCTCGTCTGGTCCTGGCGTCCCGCCCGCCTGCCTCGATCACGGCGACGCACGCGGTGCGGGCGAGAGGGAGCGAGAGGCCGGCGTTGGCGGTGGCAGTGGAGGCGGAGAGTCGGCGCGAGCAAGGCACGGCGCAGGTGAGGCGGCCGCGAGGGGAGGAGGAGGCTCCGCAGCGGCGGAGGGACGCGAGCGCGCGACGGTGAGAGACGCGGGTGGCGGACGGGGTGGCGGCAGCCGCGCGAGCTATAGGAACGAATCGGCGCGGGATTGCGGGCGGAACGTTGAGGTGGTGATGGAGTGGAGGCGGGACGAGCAGGGCAGAGAGAGTGCGGTCGGATTCGGCAGCATGCGCAAGCAAGCAGCGTCAGCGGGTGACGTGGCACAGCACGCGGCAGGAGGCGTGAGGCGGTCGTCAGATGGAGCGATGGCGGATCTGGAAGGCAGGTCGCCCAGCCGCACTGCGCGACTCAAGGAGGTGCGCGCCCTCGCGAGGCTCATGAACCAACGGTGCATGAGCCATTTCTGCGAACCAGGATGCTTGGCTGCCCGTGAGAATCTCTGGATGTGATTCGCGGTTGTGGTTTCTGAGAGTAGCCTTGTATGGTCTGCGTGCTGCCCAACGGCGCATGTATGTGCGTGCCCGTTCGGTGTTGCGCAAGTGCAGACGATGAGTGATGCAACGCATCTAGCCAAGACGCGCACTGGGTCCACATCCGGCCCACTGCCAGTGCACAAGGGAGGGATCACCAGGTGAGCTTCTTGCTGCAATTTCCGGGAACCAAAGCCACTGCTACCGTGATGATGCATGAATCTCAGTGAGGGTGTCTCCCCGTGCGAATGAAGCGCACTGTGTGTCCGTGTCATTGGTGCGTGCAGAGGGCGGTTTCAGGTGATAGAGGGCGACCAGTCAGACAGTGAGTCGGACGTGGCGCCATGGCCCTCAGCCGCCACACCCTCAGGCAAGGCAGAGGCGGCTCCCGCCACTCCGACAGCGCCTCCAGCAGGGGCGTCTGGTCCCTTGCTTGCGCCATCCCCCTTCACTGCAGCTGCAGCAACAGCCGCCTCTGCCGCACATGCAGCAGCAGCAGCGGCAGCGGCAGCAGGTGCAAGTGGGTCGGTGGGAGCAGCGGCAGCAGGCAGAGGGTGCAAGGAGGGCAATTCATTGGCGTTGGAGCGGCGGCGCATGTCCACGGCTGGCAGCGCGTCATCGTCGTCCAGCCCCTACTACTCGCCCTCCTCCCACTCGCCCACGGCCCCCCACCCCTCCACCGACCTGCGCCACGGCCCGCTGCCTGGCTTTGCGGGCCCGCTGCGCTTCGAGGGTGGCAGCGCTGGGGGCAGCTGGCGTGGCACAGGCAGCAGCAGCGGCAGTGCGAGTGGCGTGGACGCAGGGCAGAGGAGCACGGGCAGCGGTGGCAGTGCGTTCGAGACAGGGCAGCGCATGGGCAGCAGCGAGAGCTTGCTCAAGGAGGGGCCGAAGCCAGGGAGCGGCAGCAGTGGTAGCAGCGGCAGTGCAGGCGGGAGGGGGGTGCGAGGGGCGTGGGAGAGAGGCTCAGGCGCGGAGACAGGCGAAGGAGTTTATGCTGGTGAGGGGCATGCGCGGGAAGAGCAGGAGCGCGCGGTGGAGGAGTGGGAGGGCAAGGAGAGCGGGAGGCACGACAGGTGGGCTGGCGCAAGGGATGCAGGGGGGCCCAGGGACGGGACAGCAGGGCGGGATGGGGCAGGGGGTCGGCCCAAGGCGCGCAGTGAGCCGCTGGTGGGGGAGAAGGCTGCTGCAGCTGCTGGCGTGGGAGGGGGCAGGAGGAGCGCGCACACGGACATGGTGGACAGGTGCGCACACTCTCCATGCATCCCTTTGCTGGTGAATCCACGTGCCATCAGTGCTTGCTCACACATGCATCGCACACACACACGCATCACTTCCATTGCCTGCAGCTTACCGAAGGGGTCATGAGTTGTGCTATGTGGTGGGGTGGGCATGGCATGTGCGGTGTGAGCAGGAGCCAGCGCGACGAAGGGCCAGCGGCAGCAGGCAGCAGTGGGCGCAGCAAGGCAGGAGGGACCATGGTCTCCCGCTCGGCTCCCCTCACCCATTCACAAGCACCAGCTGCTGCTGCTGCTGCCAGTGGTACTCCCAAGAGAGGTGCGTGCAGCAGTGTTTAACAGCAAAGGTAAGCAGAAACCAGAATTTATGCGCGCAGCTTGTCAATGCATGCAGACCAAACAAGTCATCGCCGTTCCTCGTCTGACTGAGCGTCCTGGAAGCCGCTGCTTAGTGTGTCTGCCGCCCTTGCCATTGCCACCGACGTTACGTTGTCACCCTTCTTCGTCTGCCTTCCCCCCCTCCTCTTCCCACCCACCACTGTCCCTGGCCTTGTGGCCTTGTGTGTGCAGGGGCTACCCCCACAGGCGACGGGCAGGAGAGATGGAAGGAGAGGGGGATGAAGGAGGAGCGGGAAAGGGAAGAGCGGGGGAGGGAGGAGAGGGGGAGGGAGGAGAGGGGGAGGGAAGAGCGGGGGAGGGAAGAGCGGGGGAGGGAGGAAAGGGGGAGGGAAGAGTGGGGGAGGGAGGAAAGGGGGAGGGAAGAGCGGGGGAGGGAGGAGCGGGGGAGGGAGGAGCGGGGGAGGGAAGAGCGGGGGAGGGAATTGCGGGGGAGGGAGGAGCGGGGGAGGGAAGAGCGGGGGAGGGAAGAGCGGGGGAGGGAGGAGCGGGGGGGGGAGGAGCGGAACCAGTTTGAGAGAGAGGCGGACGGCAGGAGGGCTGGTGGGGTGGAGAAAGACAGGAAGAGTTGGGGGAGGGAGAGGGAGGCGAGGAAGAGCGACGAGAAGGGGAAGGAGAGGGTTGAGGAGCGAGGTGAGCAGGGGAGAACGGGGGGGGGGACAGGGCGGGTGGACGGCAGGGAGATGTGGGGCGATCGAGATGGGAGGAGGGAGGAGAAGGGTGGGAGGGAGAGTGCAAGGCCAGGGAGGAGCCGGGAGGAGCGGGGCAGGGAGGAGAGGGAGCGCGGGCTGGCTCATGGGAGAGGGGTGGGGCGGGTGGGGGTGCAGCGCAGGGGGCGGTTCTCCGTCACCACGGATGACGTGGATGCCCAGGTGACACATCGCTGCTGCCACGCCTCCTCATGTCTGCTCTTCGTGCCATTGCTAACATGCTTCCTCACTGCCACTATCCCATGCCATGTATCCACCGTATCTTAACGTTTCAAGGTTAGAAGCTATATAGTGTTGAAGTGCTACTGATTCCACGTCCCTTGCATGTGCCCCCCCTGTTACCCCCTTTCCAAAGGATGGAGCGCCGCCCACTGTCATGTGCACATCCAGCATGCACCGGCCACACCCCCAGGTACTCCCCTGCTCTGCATACCGCCTCGTTCTCCCCTGCTCCTTCTATTCTTAATAGAGACTGCGTTTCACACTCTCTGTGGCTGCTCCCAGTTGACCTGGCTCCCCCCCCTCCCCTGTCTCGTCCGTGGCCCTTGCTTCCCAATCTCCCCCTGTCGCTTCCCTCCCTCAGGCGGCGCGTCTCCTTCCCCCGGCGCTGCTCTTTCCACGTGCGCCCTTGGCCATGCACGTGCCTGTTGTCTGTGCCGCCCCGCCGCTGCTTCCTGCCAGGCGCCTCTCAGCGCATCAGGTGCATGCCGCTTCTGTCCACCACCATGTGCCATAACCATATCTTGCTCTCATCAAGGCGCGCTTCATACTGGTCTAAATCTGCCGAGAGCCATTGCTTTCGTATGCCACGCCACTGCATGCACGTCATGGCATGTGGGCCTGCTGTTTTGCCTCCCCCATGCGCCATCTGCCATCCCCAGGCCACCTCTCGCCCGCCCCTGCCAGCGCCGGCGCCGCTGCTGCCATCGCCTGTTGCGGCGCTGCCGTCGTCGCTGCCCGCGCTGCCCGCTGCTCTGGTGGCAGACGCGCTGCTGCTCGTGCCGCACCTGCGCACCCTGCTTCAGCACTCCTGCGAACAGCAGGTGGGGTGGGAGGAGCTGGGTGATGCTTGAGGCTCATGCCACGGCTGTGAGTGGGTGGTGGGTAGCTGCAGACATGGGTTTTGGGGAAAGGGAGGTGAGGAGAGGTGGGAAGAAGGGGGGGTAACGAGGTGGGAAGTATGCAGCAGCCACGCACGGTTGTAATGTGTGCACGTGCACATGATGGCATTTGTGGATGATGCGTGTTGTGCGTGTGCACTGTGTGTGTGTGTGTGTGTGTGCATGTGTGTGTGTGTGTGTGTGTGTGTGTGTGTATGTGGGCAGGAGGTGCTGTTCAACCTCATCAAGGAGCTCGCTGCCGCACATCCAGGTGACACACGCCGCCACCACCCTACTCCGCCACCACCCTACTCCGCCACCACCCTACTCCGCCACCACCCTACTCCGCCACCACCCTATTCCGCCACCACCCTACTCCGCCACCACCCTAATCCTCCACCACCCTACTCCGCCACCGCCAACTGTTTGATACCCCCATATCCACACGTTCTTTTGTACTTCTTTGTGTATGCGCTTGTATGTGTACGTGTGTAGTTGGCAGAGCTCTCACCCCCTCCGCCCTACCACTCCCGTGCGCTGGGTCCCTATGTGGCAGTTGTGAGCGCAGCACAGCATCGGCCAGTGCTGGTGGCCGGCATGCAGGTGAGGCCAGGCATGCAGGTGAGGCCAGGCAGCCTCGAAACATGGGTGGAAAGGCAGTGGCCACGACCTCATGCTCGTTGCCCTCCCTCTCTGGTCGCCATGCCCCTGTGCACCTGTGCCCCTAAGCGCTGCGGTGATTGAGGGTGCTGTGTGTGTGCGTGCGGTGTGTGGTGTGGCAGGTGAAGCTGCCGACGGACAAGGAGCAGGTGCTGATGCTCAAGATCGCAGAGATGCAGTGCAAGTGAGTCACCACACCACGTCGCATGCCAGTGCTGCACCTGGGATTCGTCCTACCATGCACTTGCATCCTAGTCCTGCTGTAGCTATTGTGACTGCGTGTTCCCTGTGTGTTGCCCCATCTCCATTACACTGTGACCACCACCCGTGCATGTGTGGCATTGCGCCGGCCACTGGTGCAGGGTGGCGAAGCTGGTGGACAACGTGCTCACGTACCGCAACCGCAATGCACAGGTACGCTGCTCGCCACTGCGGTACTGTCTCATTGCCCTCTGCCCTGCCTCGCCACTCCCACTGCTGGCCAGCCCTGCAGATTGTTGCTGTGCTTACCGCATGCAGATTTAGCCATCCACGCTCGTTCACTGTCCCGGCCTTGGCGGCATGGCCTTCGGCCCATGGTGGTTTCCGAGCCGAGCCACTAAGCATCTTCGACCATGGTGTGCATTCCCCTGGCTCTGCTGTGCTGCATGTGGCGGCAGCTGCTGAAGCAGGTGGAGGTCTTCAAGCACCGCCAGACGGAGCGCAAGAGGCTTGTCGCCATGGGGCCTGCACACGCCCACCCGTGACGCTGCTTCCGATGAGGCGCACACTGTTCTAGCGGGCTAGGAGAAACCCATGTGTGGTACTGTGCTCAGGTGCTGATGCAGATTGACAGTGGGTGGGTGGATGCCCCAGAATGTCATTCGTTGTGGCTCACTGCTCGCAGTATGCGAGAGCTCCTCCTCGTAGCTCGTTTCTTCGGACCGCCCTAGGATGCATGCACTTCTCTCCTCTCTCACCAAGGGAAGGTGTCGAAGAACTGAACGCTGAGAGTAAATTGCCCTGAACCCACTACCACAGTGTATGAGGGCAAAAAGGCATTTCAAATGAAAGACGGTCGCCTAGGGTTTTGAACTGAATGTGAAAATTTATAACTCGCCCTGAACCCCGAAACCCCCAAACCTCGGGCGCATTTCAGGAGGGAGTTGATCGTCAGCGTGTACGCCGTCGCGTACGGTCAAGAGTTCGCTTGACGCGCCGCCTCACCTCGAGTTGCGTGGGTTGCTGCCCTTGACCTGTGCCGTCGCTTCCATCGCGCCACCCAAGCCGGGGTAAGCGCAGCAGGTGGCGGCAGCGAGAATGGGGAAGATGGGGCCGCCACCGGAGCACAGGGAGGGCTCCGCGCTGCTCGCGCACGTCGCGGACCACGCGGCGGACGGCGGAGGCGAGGGCGCTGGCTGGGGCGGCGGGAGGGTCGCGGAGACGGCGAGAGGGTCAGCGGGGGACGCGGCGACTAGCGGAGCGGAGCTGCGCGTGCTGGAGTTCTACAGCGGCATTGGCGGGCTGGTACGATCGCGCGCGTCGAGTTGCCCGTTGCGCGCCTCTCGCTCTCCGTCCGCACAACGCTCACACGGTTACCAGCTCTGTTGACCCGCGAGCGCGCGTCTCCCCCTCGCCCCCCGCCCCGCCTAAGATCGTCCCCCTTGCGGCGTCCCCCTCCCTCCCCCCTGCCCCCAGCGGTACGGGCTGCAGTGCCCCGGCGTGGTGGCGGCGCACGTGGCGGCGCGCGTGGTGGCGGCGTTCGACATCAACGAGGTGGCGAACGACGTGTACCAGCACAACTTCCACCACCGCCCCAAACAGGTGAGTAGAGGGGGGGTACACAAGGGGGGGAGACGGGGTGGGAGGGAGCCGAGAGCGCGGGCAAGGGAGCTTGAGGGATGGATGTGCGAGCAGCTAGCGGCTATCTCCGGGCGCCCGCACCATGGTGCCACATCCAATTCCCAATGTGCTGCTCTCTGCCCTCCTCCCCTCCACCCTGTGCGCATGCGGCAGGGCAACGTGCAGACCATGTCAGCAGCAGCGCTGGACGCGTGGCGGGCACACGCATGGCTCATGTCGCCGCCCTGCCAGCCGTACACGCGGCAAGGTGAGGGCCTGTACAGGAGAGGAGGGAAGGGGCGAGGCGTGGGGCACACGGGGAAAGGGAGAGCCATGAGAGAGTGGCAGATTGCGCACGCCGCCACTGCTGCCATGACACCGCCGTCGCTGCTGCACCATGTGCCTCTCACCCGCCCTGCTCTCCTCCCCCACGCATCCCCCCCCCCCCCTTCTCCCCCCTCCCCCAGGGCTGCGGCGCGACTGCGAGGACGGGCGTGCGACGTCATTCCTGGCGCTGCTGCAGCGCCTGCCGCACATGCAGCACCCGCCGCTCTTCATCCTCGTTGAAAACGTGCTCGGCTTCGAGGTGTGCTCTCCTCTCCCGCGCAACCGCCCATCCTCCCTCGCTCCTTGTCCCGCTCCCGCTCTTTCTCTCTCCGCTCTTCCTACGCATCTCCTTCCCTGCCCCTGCATGCCCGCCTCCTTCCCTGCACATGCCTTCCCCCCCTCCCCCCCACCGCCGGCTGACCCACTACAACACGCCACGCCGTCAACCAATTCTTCTGCCTCTCCCCGCCCTCCCTGCGGCCGCCACTTCCCCCCCCACCCCACCCCACCCCCCCTTCCCCCCAGTCGTCTCGCACGCGGCATGAGCTGGTGCGCGTGCTGGCGGGCACGGGCTTCCTCTCGCTGCAGGAGTTCCTGCTCTCGCCCACCGACCTCGCCCTGCCCTACTCGCGCCCCAGATACTTCTGCCTTGTACGCCCCTCCCTGCCTTGTACGCCCCTCCCTGCCTTGCACGCCCCTCCCTGCCTTTTACGCCCCTCCCTGCCTTGTACGCCCCTCCCTGCCTTGCACGCCCCTCCCTGCCTTGCACGCCCCTCCCTGCCTTGTACGCCCCTCCCTGCCTTGTACGCCCCTCCCTGCCTTGCACGCCCCTCCCTGCCTTGTACGCCCCTCCCTGCCTTGTACGCCCCTCCCTGCCTTGTACGCCCCTCCCTGCCTTGCACGCCCCTCCCTGCCTTGTACGCCCCTCCCTGCCTTGCACGCCCCTCCCTGCCTTGTACGCCCCTCCCTGCCTTGCACGCCCCTCCCTGCCTTGTACGCCCCTCCCTGCCTTGTACGCCCCTCCCTGCCTTGCACGCCCCTCCCTGCCTTGCACGCCCCTCCCTGCCTTGTACGCCCCTCCCTGCCTTGTACGCCCCTCCCTGCCTTGTACGCCCCTCCCTGCCTTGCACGCCCCTCCCTGCCTTGTACGCCCCTCCCTGCCTTGTACGCCCCTCCCTGCCTTGTACGCCCCTCCCTGCCTTGCACGCCCCTCCGTGCCTTGCATGCACCCCTGACCTTTATCTGCAGTTGCCTTGGTCGTCATTTCCTGCCTTGTGGCTGCATCTCTCTCGTGCACCTCTGGCGGCGCCCATCCGTCTCCTTCTGCCCCCTTCGCCCCCACGTTCCTGTCCTTCCTCACCTACCCTCGTCTCCTCCTTTCCTCTGCACCTCCCATCTCCCTGCCACCCTGTCTTGTCCCCAGGCCAAGCGCCCCACCCCTCTGGCCGCCGCCCTCTGCCACTCTCTGCCCAGTAACCCGCACTGCCCCTCTCCCTCCCCTGCTGCTGCGACGCTGGCTGACTCGGGCACAAACGAGGCCGTGGGGAGCACAGTGCGGAGTGGAAGCGGGGAGGTGGGGCAGGCAGGCCAAGAGGCGGAGGGCATGGGGGAAGGGGACGAGGTGGGGGAGGAAGCGAGCTGTGATGGCGTGGTGGGGGCCGCACAGGTGCTGGGGTGGCGTGACCTGCTGTTTCTGTGCCCAGACGTTGAAGGGGGGGAGTGGAGAGTGCAGGAGGCGGCAAGACAGGCTGAGGATGGGGGAGAGGATGGGTGCAGTGAGGAGGGTGGTGGTGGTGGCAGCAGTGGTGACGGTGCACGGCATGCGTCTCACCATGGCTTGAAGCCTCGGTGCATTGGGGACTTTATTGATCTGCAACCTGATGCTGCTGACGCCGGTGCTGCGGACGCCGGTGCTGCTGACGCCGGTGCTGCTGACGCCGGTGCTGCTGACGCCGGTGCTGCTGACGCCTGTGCTGCGGACGCCGGTGGCGGCAGCACGCCATGTGTGTCGGAGGCACAGGCACCATCACCTGAGCCCAGCACATCTCCGTGGAAGCCCTACTGTGTGCCTCATGACGTGCGCCAGCGATGGGGGGAATGCTTTGGTACGAGGACTGCCGCGGTGGGGGGATGCCCTTCATGCTCGCTCTCTCTCTCCCCCGCACCTTGCATCATTGCCCGTGACCATCTATTGTCTGCTGCGTGTGCCGTGTGTGCAGACATAGTGACGGCGGGGTCGCAGCGCTGCTGCTGCTTCACCAAGAGCTACACCAAGTACGCCAAGGGCACGGGCTCAGTGCTGCTCACTCAGGTCAGGTCAGCCTCACTCCGCGCTGTGCTGCCGCTCACTCCCTTGACTTGCACAACAGGCCGTCCGCTCGTCCTCCCCATTTCCTCTCGTGTGTCCATCTGCCTGCTCCTCATGCCCGCCTGGCCTTGCCTTGCGCTGCCTGCAGGAGGAAGAGCTGACGACACGAGTGCCAACAGCAGCAGCAGCGCCAGAATGCGCATCCGAAGGCCACTGTGATCCCAGCAGCCATGCCCTGAGTGAGCAACAGAGCCGGGAGGAAGAGCAGCAGTGTGTGCGATTCAATGGTGTCCCTCTCACTCAACTTCCACTGCGCTACTTCACACCAAGAGAGGTATTCTCCCCCCTCACAATTGAACCTTTAAAACTCATGGATTCAGCGGACAGCCATCTCACCTCCTCCCGTCCATGCTCCACTATTCTTGTTTCAGGGACAGCACAGCAGGCAGCATATCTCCCTGTGTGTGTCTCTCCCCTCCGCGCACTCTTCAAGTATCTTGTGCTGCCATGCTGTGTGTGTGGCGTGCAATGCAGGTGGCCAACCTACACAGCTTCCCGCGCACTTTTACCTTCCCATCACATGTGACCATGAAGCAAAGGTACGGTAATGCACCTTGCACTTTCCGCTTCTTATGTGCGTCTCCCATCCAAGCCCTCTGTGAATATTTTACACAAGCATGTGAGTGTGTGTGTTCGATCCCATCCCAGGTACGCTCTCCTGGGCAACAGTGTGAGTGTTGCTGTCGTCGCACATCTCCTTCGCCATCTCCTGACTACCCACTCATAATCGCAATGTACATCCGATTACAATGTTCTGTAACACAAATTGTTCGTTAGCCATTGTTAAGCAGTTCAAGTCTCTTGGTGTAGGGGTTGTGGTCATCATACTGCCATGTGATGAAGTCCAAGTGTAATTATTCTATATTGCAGCAGCCATTAGCACAATGGCTGGAATACAGCAAAGAGGCACAAGACAGCTAGCGACTGCAGGCACGAGCGGGCAGGTTTCAAGTTGAAACGCTGCAGCTGTGGCTGCTAAAAAAGCTGCTTGCAGGGCTAAGGGGAAAATAGGGGATGTGATGCGACATGGCATGTGTGAAGAGAGCTGTACAAGGGACGGTAGGAGACACTCCGAGACCGCATGGTCCATGGGAGGCCAAAAAGGAGCAGCGCTCTTGCTGTGCTGCTGCACGCTGCTTGTTGCCATGCTGCCGTGAGGCATTCCTGATGCTGGCGCTAGGGGCCACTTATGTCACCCATCTGGTGGTTGCTTGCCTTCAAGCTGACGCCGTGCTCACATGGCGTGGCAGGGGCAGTGCTTGGACTGCGTGGTGCCCATGGATGCGCTATTTTCTGCCTCCCGTGACCTGCCACGCTCCCTGCAACCCCTCTTCCTCCTCCCACCGCCCTCCTCCCCTCTCCTCCTCATGCGCCGCCCCTCACCCACACTCCCATCGCAGTCGACCTCCTCCATCTCGCCCCACGCAGTCGTCTTGCGCCTGTCCACGTCAGCACCTGTGCCATGGCTTGCAGTCACTGTGTGCTCGGAGATGTCATCAGTATGTGACGTCAGCAGGGATGGTAGAGTGTCATCGCCATCATCAGCACCGCTCGCGGCAGGTGCACGGTCGTGCAGGCGCTCTGTTTCCCCCAGAGCGACGTGCAGCCAGGGGTGGGCGAGCACTTGCTGCAGGGAGGGGCGGCGGCGGGGGTTGGGGGCGAGCATGGAGCGGATGAGGCGGATGCACAGGGGCGACACGGAGGGCCAGGGGTGGGTGGAGAAGTCGGGGCGGTGGCAGCAGATGGCGCGGAAGGTGGTGGGCAGGTCCGCGCCCCAGAAGGGCACGTAGCCAGCCAGCATGACGTAGAGCAGCACGCCCAGGCTCCACACGTCCGCGGCTGCGTCGTAGGGCCGGCCGCACACGACCTCGGGCGCCATGTAGAAGGACGACCCCGCCACGCCGCACGCCATCTGCCCCGGCAGCACGCGCACGGCCTGCCCGAAGTCCGCCAGCTTCACGCACACCGCCTCGCGCAGCGCCCGCCGCGACACGCACGCTGCATCGGAGGCGCCGGGCGCCGTGGAGGGCGCGGCAGCCGCGAGGTAGTGAGGGGGGAGGCGCGTGTGCAGGAGAAGGTTCTCAGGCTTGACGTCGAGATGCAGCACGTTGTGCGCGTGGCAGAACGCCACCGCTGACGCCGCTTGCCTGGTGGGGAGAGCGGGAGAGAAGAGGGAGGGGTTGAGCAAACGAGATAGTGAACCAAGTGTGGCAGAGACTGACGAGGTGCGACGAAGCGTGATAGTGAGGGGCGCCACGAGGGGAGGGTAAGTAGAGACGGGCGGCACCTGAAGATGTGCGCCGCGAAGTCCTCGGCCAGGCGGCCCGCCTTGGCGACGAGGTCGAAGAGGTCGCCCCCCTGGCACAGGTCCATGACGAGGTGCACGTGGCGCGCGTCCTCGTGCACGCTGGCCAGCCGCACCATGTTGCGGTGCGGCGGCAGCCCGCGCATGCACAGCACCTCCATCGCCACGTCCTCCATGCGCCCGCTCGCCTGCACACACGCACGCGCGCACAACGCAATGCAGTCAGCCAGTGCGTCCGCGGGCTCAGCGACTGATAGAGCCTGCAGAAAAGAAGCGCGGCAGACGAGTGAAGGCGGCACTAGGGGTGGCGACGGGCCTACCAAGAGCGCCGCCTTGTCGATGCTCTTGCACGCCAGCAGCCGGCCCGTGGCGCGGTGCATGCACGCGCGCACCACGCCGAACTCGCCTCGCCCCAGCTCCTCGCGCGCCACGGCGAACAGTGCGCCCAGCGCAGGAGTGTCGCACGGCAGCACGCGAGGCTCGCTGGTCGCCGTGGCGTCGCACGACGACTTGTCGCTTAGTTTCGAATCCGTGACGCTGCTCCAGGGCCAAGTATCGTCATCATGAGTGGATGGGCTGCGGGCTTGCGGCGTGTGGAACGGGGAGTCGTCTAAACCAGTCATAGTCGTCGCGACGCGGGGCAAGAATTCAGAATGAGGTGCGCCTGCCGCGGTGGTCGTAGCGGTCTATCACAGCGCGAGCAGACGCTTGCAAGTAGAGGCGCGTCGCTGGAGTGACAAGAGAGTCTTGCTGCTGTGGAGGGATGGGTGGTGCAGAAAGGGGTTTGATAGCTCAAAAGGCCTGGGTACGGCTTCATGGAGGGGGGTGGGGGATAACAAGTACGGCGAGAGGTGCTGTTCTGGGCTGAGGGCCGCGACGCGGAGGCGATGGGTGAGAGGCCAAGTTACAAGATGCGCGCAGCTGCCGGGGCGAGAGGCGAGGCAAGGTGTGTGTGTGTGCGGATGGTGCGAGTGGCTCCGACCGCTGCCTGTTTGGCTGCGTCCAACGTATCACACCACGCCGCGCAACAATACCCTCGCAATCTCCCGCTGCCTTGACTGCCCGCAAGGTGCATCTCTCGAGTCAGACACGTGATATTTTGCTGGGGGCTTGGTCGTCCAAGACCGCTCCATCGCCAATTGCGGAGGAGACGACGAGCCCTGATGCGGCCGCTGCACGTGGCAGCGCGGCAGCAGCTTCTGGTTGTGATGTGTGGGCTTCACATGCGGAGCACCTAAAACGGGTTTTTAGGTTAGCGGTAACCCTTACTGGAGTTTTACTCTTTTGAGTAACATTTAGCCCTTTCACGGAAGGGTTTCTCATTGTTCCAACCCTCCCGGGCCAGTTTTTTGTTCTTTGAGGTTAGTTCGCACCACAGAAGACCACGCGTCACAATCTCCTTGCTCCGTCACTTTGGGGCTACTGAACTCTGTTTTCCTGCGATATTGTGGGATCTGTAGTGCTACTGAAAATGGCTGACAACATTCGGGCAGGCTAGCTGGCAAGAAAAAAACTAAAACCCATAGGGGCGAGTATGCCATTCTGGTGGGCATCAACCCTAAATTCGTGGCCCTTTTGCGAGTTTAGGGTTGATGCCATCCAGAATGCCATGCCAGGCCCATAAGGGTTTTATTGTTTCTGCCCGCTGCCCAAGATGAAGGAGATTGTTACACGTGGTTCGCTGTGGAGAGAACTAACCTCGAAGAACAAAAAACTGTCCCTGGGGGGTTTGATCGGCGAGAAACCCTTCCGTAATAGGGGCTAAACGTGATCCCAAAGAGTAAAACGCTAGTAAGGGTTACCGGTAATCTAAAAACCCCACCTAAAACCGAACCAAGAAGCTAACGTGTCTGGGGAAGTAGTACCCACTGCACGAGTACCCCAAGTTTTCGTGGATCACGCTCCCCTCCCAGCAGGGTGACAGTAGGACGTTTCTACAACAGTGTTAGCAATGGAAGGTTCACTAATCGCCTGTACGTGCGAGGTCCAAATTCCGTCATTGCGGGGGTACGAAATGAATGTAGCACCTGAAATTGAACCTACCCATGGTTGGTCAGGTAAATTATCCCCAAAAAGTCAACTTTGAGGTGATACTGTACTGGGTGAGGGAATAAGCAAGGGAGCGTAGGGCCCACTGCCTACCGACTACCAACCGTGATTAGCAGAGCTCGAAAGTCGGTTTGGCGGGAGCTGGGTATGCTGACGAGGCATGCCATAGTCATGGGAGAAGCTCAAGAAAGAAACGAAACGGGAAAGCAAGGTGGATGCAAAACGGAGCCCCAGGGCGGCGGTGCTCGCCACGCCATGCTCCTGTCGCAGCACGGCTGCGCGGGTACAGCACGTGGGTGTCTGGGCTCGGAGGGGCCTAAACTCAATAGGTTGACATATGCCAGCTTTATGGTGGTGCAATATAGTGTGAATGATGACTAGAGTAGTAATATATTACATACACATTCTATATTAATTCTTCGTCCTTAAAATATGTGTGCCATAATTTCCAGCGGATAAGATGGAAGTTTCGATTTTAAACGAGAGGTAACTAGCCCTTAGGAATAATGGGTAAGGTACATCAGGTTTCCTTCCTTGATGCCATTGGGAAGGAAAGAAAATGGGCTATGTTTATACGTTCATCTATTCGGTAAGTGTTAAAGTGAGATGTCAAGGTATTGCGTGTCCAAAGGAGTTAGTTGTCATTATACTGCAAGCTACATTCTCTGAAGTTTAGACATGACGATCTGTTGCATGTGAGATGGTGGTGGTCAATATAGAGACACTCACACGAAGGACTACCCAAGTGGATGAGATGTATGTAAAGCGGCTTGGATTGGGGTGTAGCAGACATGTTTGCACACTGGTAAGAGAAAGCCTGGTAACGAGCTGGTTGCAGGGCAGACAGCACAAAAGGGGTATTTTCACCCATGCCTGTCCCCTCGAGTTGTGCTTCCTTGCCCCGCATTTTCCTGTGGCCTTGAATCCTGCTTGCACTCACGGACTCGCACCGCCGTCGCCGCACTTACCGCTGCCATGCTGTGCTCGCTGCCACCCCCAGCCTCGCGCATCTTGCCCTTCGCGGTCCTTTCAAGCCCGAGCGTGTCCTCATATTCTCCCTCCTCCTCTCCCACCCTTACCTCGCTCCCCCTTTCCGCCTTGCCCGCACCACCTCTGCGTCCCCAAGCGCCCTCCCCGCCCTCAAATCCGCGCATCTCGCCGCTCCTGACTGCAGTGTCGCGCGCCGCTATCCCGCCATGCTGCAGAGGGCGCTCGATGCGCGCGCAGGGGGGAATGACGGCGAGGAGGAGGGCGGCAGTGGCAACGGCGCACGTGGCGGGCGCCGGGACGGGGGGAGGCGATGAGGGGGAGAGCATGGGGGCAGCGGGCAGCACGGCCTTTTGTGTGTTCCCTCTCAGGTGCGGTCGTGAGGCGGGCGGTGGTGCTGAGGGCTTGAGCTGCGTGAGAGGTGGCGGTGGTGGCAGGGCTGGGTGGCATCGTGCGTTGCACCGTGCCGCACTCCTCTCTTGCCCATAACCTTCCCTCGCCCCTCCTCTCCTCATGTGTGCGTGCGTGCGCGCTTGTGTGTGTGTGTGTGCCACCAACAGCGGAGTGTGTCTGCCAAGTCACTCTGGGGCACTCAATGTAAGACAGCGCACGCACCCAGCATGCTCTGCCGTTTGACTTCCATCACGGCCATCGCACCTCTTTACCTGCCGCGTGTGTCGCTCCCTCGTCTCGCCCGCAGGTGTACGACCCGCGCATGCTTCAGCTCATGGACGTCATAGCGCTCGTGGCCGCATCCCCCTCGTCCCCCCCATCCGCGCCGCCTCGCTTTGCCATGCTCCCCTCCTCCTGGACCTCTGCGCTCACTGCTGCAGCCGCCAAGCAGCACCGGGGCAGCAGCGGGGGGGAGGGGGAAGGGGGATTGGCCGGCGGTGCGTTGACGTGGGGTGACGAGCTGGGCGGGGAAGGGGAGGGGGAGGGGGTTAATGTCTGGTTCAAAGGTGGGGGACAACGGAGCAGAAGTGGGGGTGAGGAGGAGGGAATGGGGCAAGGGAGTGGAGAGTGGAGGAGCGTGGAGGACATCATGAGAGACGCACCTGTTGGCTGTTGCTGTGTGGTGAGGCCATCACCATGTGCTGCCATGCACTGCTTGTGTTTATTTAGAAACGTTCTACTAGGTACTTAGTTGATCTTCCATGCTTCCTCGCCAGCCTCACATGGCTCGAGCACAAGCCATCCGTCCCCACAGAGAATGAGTGAGGAATCCATGTCTTGTGTGCCCCCTCTCTCCTCCAACACCCCCCTCCCCCCTCAGGTGCGGGCGTCTCACCCGGAATCTTGTGCCTCTCGCCTGGTGTCGTACGAGGCCACGCACCGCGTGCGCCCACATGCCGTTCGCCGCGTGCACCCCTTCCTCGTGCTGCTCTGCCATACGCTGCACGACCGCCCGCCGCCCGCTGTCACAGCAGCAGGGAGGGCAGCAGGGGCGGGCGCGCTGCAGTACGCGGCGCAGGTGGACGGGGCGGAGGGGCGCGTGTGGGAGCAGCTGAAAGAGGTTGCGTGGCTCTCTGCCATCCTAACCCCCGCCTCCTCCCCCACGCCATGCCACCAGCACCACAATGCGCTGCCACGTGAACGCACCCCTCCCCCCTCTGCTGCGGCGTCGCTCCTCCCGTCGTCCGTGCTGCGCTTTGGCCCCGATGCCATGACGGGCGGCACCAGACGCGCTAGCAGCAGCGCTCAGGCCGGTCAGTGCGGGTGGGCAGGTGGCTGTGGAAGGAAACCCTCCTGCACGTACCACGGGACTCCACACGTGGCAGGAAGGAAATGTGATGGTCGCCTGTACGTGATAACCTCCTCACCCAAATGCTCGCTCATCCCTCTCTGTTCCCCCCCCCGGCGCCCTCTCCCCCACTGCCAACCCCCCCCCTCCCCCCCGCGTGCAGCCATCTCCACGTGGCGGAGCATGAAGGGACCCCTGACTGTGGAACGGGCGGGTGGCGAGAGGAAGCAGGCGGGAGGGGTGGGGAGTGGTGGTGGCGGGGCTGCAGGGACGGAGGGGGGGTGGCATGACCCGTACTGGATGGCGCGAGAGGCACTCAGCAAGGCCCGGAGGCAAGAGGCCTTCTCGTTTGCCGCAGCTGACATGGTGTGTGGCATGCGTGTGGGGCATGGATGGTGTGTGGCGTGAGGGGCATGGATGGTGTGTGGCATGAGGGGCATGCTGCTGGTGGGCTTGTGGTGGAATGTGCATGGCATGTATGGACTCACGTGGATGCATCATGAGGCAGCCGCACCCAGGACAGCATGCACGTGGGCAGAGCCGGAAGCTCTGAGTGAGCGCCATGTGGTTGTGTGTGGGTGCTGTGGTGCTACGTGCAGGTGGACTTGGAGCAGCAGCATCGCAGCTTGCTGCTAGGCATGACATGCACGCTGGAGCGACTGCTATGGGTGAGATGCCACTGCCATGGGGAGGGCAGGGAGGGGGAAGCATGTGAGGGAGGGGTTGCGTGTGCAACGCAACATGCATCAATGCATGTGCCGTGATGAGCCACCCTGCAATGGCATCATGCACCACTGATGCTGTTGTGTCACCCCTGTGCTGCTGTGCTGCACCCGCACCAAACATGCATGCCGCACTCTATTCACTCATCTTCTCTGCCTGCTGCCATGCTTGCTGGACAGCCTTGCTCGTCTCTCTATCTGCGTGCGCATATGGGCGCTCCACCTTCTCCCGCCTAACCACTCCTCTTCCCCCTTCCCGCTCGTGTCCCTCCCTGCCCATGCCGTCAGGTGCAATCAGCCATTGAACCCCATCTCGCCTCGCTTCGTGCTCAAATGGCTGTTCGGCGAGCAATGGACTTGTGAAATATGTGATCCACAGGGGTGAAAGGAGAAGGATCCGTACATCATGTTCTGCAAGGTACTCAGACAGAAAGCAACAACCATCCGTGCCCTTGCCTAACAACCTTCACCCAGTTGCACTCGGGTGCTTATGCTACGCACTGTCGTGAAGTTAGGCTAGGTAGGAATACGTGAAGCCATGAATATGGCGTGAGATCTAGATCTAGGAGGTAGGCGTGAAGTTTGACGAGAGAAAAGAGGACTAGGAAAGAAGAGAGGGATACAAGGAGGGGTGTTGTACCCTCTACAGTAATGTTCAGTAACATCTACCAAGCCTACACTTATATAATAACTTATATAATTTAATTCACCCCCTAGGCTTGGTAGTACAAGGACCCACACACCCCCACACCCCCTAACCTAGCACCCCCATTCCCATCAGCCACGACGACTCCAACAGGGCCAGCCCCAAGGCCTTGGAGATGGCGACGGCGGCAGTCCCGGCAGCGGCGACCAGGCCTGTCGTTATCAGGGTATTTTACCCTGATTCCCTGATTTCACTGGGTTTTTTTTTTTGCCAACCCTTAATTTTCAGTATTGAAATTTTCTTAACCCTAGCCCCTTCAGGGTTGTACGTTTTCGAACACTTGAGATTTCAGGGTTTGCGTTATCCCAAAACTGAGTTTTCAAGGAGTAACGCGTACGAACCCTGAATGCGACATCCATGCGGACCATGAATTTCGGCGAAATGAGCCCCTTACGCGTGACGGGTCACAGGCCCATGATTACGACCCGCAGGCGTCACGCCTTTGGTTGGAGCGCAGCGCCGTCAGGAACCCAGCCCTGGCTGGCTCAACCAGCTACCGTGTACAGTACGGTGCTTGTACGACCCGCTTCATTGCATCGCATGCTGCTGCGACAGCCGGTCATGTCAGACCTCCCATCAAGCGACAGCGATTCGACATCAGCAGAACTGCTAAGCTCCCCTGACCGCCACGTTTGGGAGATTGGGCTGCGCTCGGGAACCGTTTCTTGGTCGCGGGCAGAAAGCAAACGAGTTTCGCGATTGCTGTGGCCCACCAAGCGGAAAAAGAAACAGCAGAATCGAATGAGATGACTCAAACGAAACATCGAACCTGTCGCCAAAACCATTTCCTGGTTCCAGTTGCGTCGCACATGAGAGAAGACAGCATGCCAACCAAGCCAGGCCATCTACAGTGTGCTACAAGTGAATCAGGCTAGGTGTGACAGAAGCGGAGCTTCGGTCGAAATTTGAGCTACTATCATATCTTAAGCTAAATTCACAAGCCAACATGCAGTGTACATGGAAGAGGAAATGAGCCAGCTTCTTCAGAAAGGATTCATATTCCTCTCTGGGTGATACACCGTTCCCCGTGGGTGCCTCATCGTCGCCATTCCGTCTGTTTCTCACATCCGCTCTGCCGTACCCCTTGGGAGGAAGCTAGCAGCGTGATCACTAGCTCTCCACACAACAAGCCAGTTGGAAACCCTCGAGGGACGGTTGGGTGACCGACCGTCACCTTCTGACGAGTTGCAGACACTCTTGCTAGTAGCTTTATCTTTGCGAGCGGAAATGTCCAAGTCTTGCAAGGGTCTGGCGTACGAGCTCGTCGAGTGCGTGGCGGAGAGCCCGTGTGTGAAGGTGAGAGGTCTTGTGAGAGTGCGGGGCGCTAAGGGCTTGTGGTGAGAGGCTGGTTGCAAGATCGACGGAAACACCGATTAGAAACTTATGTTCTTCGTCTATTTTCCGACTTTCTTGTCGTCTCAACTTGTTACATCCTGCCCCTCCGGCTTAGTGTGGTGCAGGAGAAAGGTCAGTCCGTGCAGGAGTGCGCGGGGAGGGGAAGCAGCCGCCAGAAATTCCATCCAGATGTGTGGGCCTGAGGGAAACGTACGCCAAATGCAAGAGAGGACTAGTTATACTATTTTAACGTTCTCTTTCTCGATTTTATGCAAGTGCAATGCAACCCTGTTTGTGGCTAGCTAACCCTGAAGGTTTCAGGCTTGCATTTTCTAGGACACTGAGAAATCAGGGTGGGGAAATTTTGAACACAAGGCCCTAAGGGTAAAATTTATTTCCCATTCGACAGCTCAGGGGTTTTTTTTTTAAATGTCAGCCCCGGCGGCGACAGAGACGGCGACGGCGGGCGTGCGGCGGCAACAGGCCTGCGACGACGACAGCGGCGACGACGACGGTTTCGGCTTACGACGGCGGTGACGGCAGCGGCCCCCGCCCTTCCGGCGGCGTGTCCAAACTCCGCACCAGGGGAACGACCGACGAGAGTCTGACGGCGGCTGTGGCGAAGAGGAGGGGACAGAGGAAAGGGGGAAGGGGCGGGGCTTCGAATCTTCAGCGCGGCGCCATTGCTGGCGCGGCGCTTACAGGTGAGCGGGTGGGCTGCATTTCCAACAGCGACGCAGGTCGTGCGCGACGGCAACATGCCGACGTTGCAGCCATGGCACCAGGACGGCGCCACCACAGTGTGGCGTCGTCGCCGCAGCTGCTCGTCGACGCTGGGCCGACAGCACGCAGGGGCCGCTGTGGCATCTTGGAAACGGTGCCACGGCGGCAGGTAGTAGGAAGGCCGCAACGGCGGCGAACAGGCAGAAGGCCGCGACGGCGGCAAACGGACAGAAGGCCACGACGGCGACACGGGAAGGACGGGTACGCGGCAGAAGCGTGGAGAGTAGGCCCGGGAAGGGCGTCCTGCTCTGAAACCATGTCGTGAAGTTAGGCTAGGTAGGAATAGGTGAAGCCATGAATATGGCGTGAGATCTAGATCTAGGAGGTAGGTGTGAAGTTTGACGAGAGAAAAGAGGACTAGGAAAGAAGAGAGAGGGATACAAGGAGGGGTGTTGTACCCTCTACAGTAACGTTCATTAACATTTACCAAGCCTACACTTATATAATAACTTATATAATTTAACACGCACTCCCACTCCACTGAAGGTTTTTGGAAAATTGAGGAGGTTTTGAGGCAAGCCCACACGGTTACGTTACGCAGTGCGTAACATTCCTCCTAGGATGCTAGCAATGGCATTCACCAAATATCTCTAATGGCTTATAGCTTTGGTTTCCCGTTATGTCTACGCAGTTTACATTAGGACCAGAGCATTGTAGTAATGTGTATAATTGCGTCCAAATAGCCGAACATGTAACTTACCTAGAAACAACTTGCAGGTTTGTCTCAGAATAACGCAATGACTAGAATGAGGCATACAGACAGGTTTTGTGCTATGGTGTTGTACTCTCTATAAGCATGCATCTATCTAGCCTATAACAATATATAAATATGTTGACACACCCTAGGCTAGACAAGGGGCAGTGCCCGGCAAGAGACACGCGGCTCAGGGTGGCACTACTAGTCCAACCTCTGAGGCAAGGGTCCGAAGACCAGTCAGAAGAGTACAAACTAGACAAGAGCAAACCAGGGCAGCACTACTAGTCCGGCACATGGAACAGAAGCCACAAGGCAAATAAGGAGAATATATAAAATAGTAATACACACTCAAGGTCCTAGCAAGTGAGAAGCTACTGGAACTGCACCCAGCTGCACACAGTGCCGCTAATGATCTTTAGGCGCAAGCGCCTTCGTAAAGATATCAGCCGTGTTGGCACTGGAGGCCAAGTGAACCACGCGGGCCTGGCGTCGCTGCTGTAGCTCGTGCATGAGGAAGTACCGCAACTGGATGTGCTTCGCTCTGCCCTCCAGTCGAGGTTCCTGACACAGGATGAACATGGCCCTGTTGACATCGTACAGGACCCCTATGGCGGTTGCTGCTGCGGCAGCGGAGACTGCAGGTGCTGCTGAGGTTGCGACGGTGGCGACGGGGGCTGTTGCTGTGGCGGCGATGGTGGCGGCTGTGGCGGCGACGGAGGAGGAGATACCGAGGCGGAGCCAGGCGGCGAAACTAGAGGCGAAGGGCCTCCAAAGTCAGCCGAATCCTCTAGTGGGACAACCGACGGGAGGGGAGTGACGTGCGACACACCAGACGGTGCAAGACGACGGATGGTAAAAGTGACAGTCAAACGCATCTAGGGGGAAGTGTCACAGGATCGAATGTGTCGAGGAAAGGTTGCACTATCGATCAGTACAAGGCGCTTTTATACTTCCAAAGTACATCTGGTAACCAGGTTTATCTTATCCTAAGGGAATAGACCCTTCTAGAAAATAGAATCACCCTGCGTATAGCCACGCGAGGCTATTGGCTCTAAGGGATTACGGCAGGATTACGCTAGATATAGCGCACCAGTACATCCCAAGCCTGGTCGGTGATATAATGATAATAACAGGATAAACCAAAGGTTTATGGAAAATGGAGAATAGGAAACCAAATGAGATGAGCTAAAAAAAGAAATGGCAGGGTGTACGACTGGGTGATGCCCTCCGCACGACAGATTTGGCCAAGCCGACCAGAGGCGAACTCGCCGCCTCGGTCGGAGTGACGACGTAGCACAGATAGGCCGCGGTGGACTCACGCAGCTACGACCCACGAGATAAGAACGTCAGGTACGTCGGCCTTCTGTTTCAGAGGAAAAATCGTGGTGTAGAACGTGTAGTCGTCGACAAGCACTAGAAACTAGCGCTCTCGATGCGGCCCAGGGACGGGGGCTGGGCCCCACACATCGAGGTGCAGGGTCTGGAGTGGCGCAGTGGTAGGAGGAAGCGAGGAGGAGTGAAGAGCACGGTGGAGCCTGCCCTCGACGCAGGGCGTGCACGGCGGCGAAGGGTAGAGAGGGAGGGCAGGGAGCGACATAGGGAGACCTAAGACAAGACCGTGCTAGGACATGTGACGCCGACGCAGGAGTGCGGGATGACCTAGGCGGTGGTGCCACAGAAGCGACGTGTGAGTGAGCGACCGACACGAGCAAGCCACAGCGACCTGAGCAGGTGCAGCCACTTGGGGAGACGCCCCCACCAGGGGGGACGCGGTGTCAAGCGTAAACACTCCAGACACCGGGTCCCCGGGGGAACATGGTGAGAGGGGCACCAGTGGAAGCCTCGGTAAAAGACTGCGTACCGCTCGTGTCCAGGAAACGTAGTTGTGACGTCGGGGTCCTGAAGATAGCCGACAGCAACTAGGTTCCTGGAGAACAAGGGGAGTGCAGGCCGGTAAGAGAGCCCGAGGGAACCGCCGGACAGGGAAGGGTGGTAGAGCTACGTGCAACTACTGGACTGGAGGAGGGGTCAGCAAGCGCGACAGCTGCAGGGGCGGCAAGCGGCGTGAGCGTGGTGTGGTCGCGAAAGAAGCAGGAGGACACACTAGAGTCTAGCGTGAAAGAGAGCGCGTCGATAGTGTCAGCCGGCGGAGGGGCCAGCGTGGAGCCTAGGCTAAACAAAGGAGGAACCTAGACTACATACAGGGGCACACCTACACTAGGCAACACAAGGTAGTATGATCCTGTCACACTAGAGTCATCAGCGTACAAGGCATACAACGCAGGACAGATCTAATCCATATCCACCTCAAAGACCGGCACATGGCGACGTACGAGACTGGGCCAGTCGAGGAGGTCCGGCACAGGGCCGAAGCGGAGACGGAAGAGGTTGTCGAGGCAGCGGTAGCAGCGGGCGGCAGTGTGACCTGGACGGCTACACACAGTACCACGAAAGAGACCAGTCTGGAGCTGGTACTGACAAATCACATAACTGAAGTTGCCATCCGACGCCGAGCTGCGAGGGCCGCCACCGCAGCCACCACCACCAGAGACGTTGTGCTACCCGCGAGGGAGGCGACCCAGCAGCTGTTGCCGCTGCTGCTGCGACTGCTGCTGCTGCAGCTGCTGCTGCTGCTGCTCCTCTTCCGGGAAATCAGCCCCGGTCCCCTCCTCGGTACTGCCGGCACTCGCACCACCTCCACCACCACCGCCACCCTCACCACCCCTCCCTCAGCCACGCCCGCCCTTGGGGTGGCATCCCCTATCCTGACGAGGCTGCGCTGAGGCCGCCGCGGCGGCAGTCTCAGCAGCAGGGGTTGTCTCAGCGACAGCGGCAGGAACATCAGAGTAAGTGCAATGGGAGGGAGCACAACCCTGTAAGATAGGGACCGGCGCAGTACGGCTAGACTGGGCGATAGTGCGCTGGCGGATCTCTATCGCGGACACGGTGGTGACAAAGGTAGTAAGGGTGAGGTCACCTGGGTGCTGGCTAAGGAAGTGGTCGCGGGCAGTGGCGAGGCGGTCAGGAAGGTGTCTGGCAATGAGGTACAGGGTAGCGCAGAGGGAAGGAGGGAATGCAGCAAGCTCGGCCTCAATGCTAGCAGCGCGGTAGCTAATCTTAAGGGCACATGGGTGAGTGGCAATATCAGCGACAGTGGGGAAGGACGCAGGATCGGGGAATAGCATGGGGAGGATAGGACGGCCGGTAGAGGCGGAGGAGGGAGTGGAATAGCGCGCAACGACCGCATCTAAGTACTACTTTGCGTTCGCTACTACCGTAAAGCGGGGACGCTCAGACAGGGGGAGGGCATGACTGATAGCAAGTTGCGCTACGGCGCCACGTAGTCCCCAGACAGTGCGAGCAAGCTCAGCAGCGGCAAAGGCCTCACGTTCAGTAGACGTGGGGGAGTCAGAGAGGGGAGCAGGCGCGTCGGGGCAGGGGAGCTTACCGTCGAGATGGACGTCCAGGGAGTAGCCGTCCTTGCGCTGACTTGTCAGCTGATGGCGGAGGTCGACAAGCCATGCCTCAAGATCAACCGCGTGACCCTCCGCGTCCAGGCGGAGCACATCGTCCCCCATCACTACAGCTGCAAGAGATGACAGCCGTTGGAGGAGGAGGAGAGCGATGGGGAGCGATGGATAGCGGCAGAGAGCGGTGGAGAGTGGTGGAGAGTGGTGGAGAGCGGTGAGGAATGGTGGGGAGCAGCGGGGAGCGATGGAGAGCGGTGGAGAGTGGTGGATAGCAGTGGAGAGTGGTGGAGAGCAGTGGAGAGTGGTGGAGACGGCCGGCGGGAGCGTCGGCGCCGAGGGGAAGCCAAGGTTGACAGGTCGGTCTGGTAGCACGGCAATTTGGCGGCTCGGCGGCTCAGCGGCGCGGGGGCTTAGCGGCTCGGCGACGCGGCGCGGCTAGGGCCGGCGCGGACAGGGGCCGGCGCGGACGGGGGCCGGTGGGAAGGGGTCGGTGAGCAGTGGCCGGCGAGCAGAGGTCGGCGAGAGCTGGGGCCGGTGCAGACTGGGGTCGGCGGGAGCTGGGGCCTGCGCGGACTGGGGCCGGTGAGCAGGGGCCAACGAGCAGGGGCCAGTAGGAGCTGGGGCCGGCGTGGGCCGGGGCCGGCGTGAGCAGGGGCGGGCGAGAAGGGGGGCCGGTTAGCAGGGGCCGGCGAACAGGGGCTGGTGAGAGCTGGGGTCGGTGCGGACTGGGGCCGGCGAGCAGGGCCAATGAGCAGAGGCCGGCGAGCAGGGGTCGGCGGGCAGCGGGCCACTGGCGAGCTAGGGGGCGGCGTGCAGGAGCCGACGCGCAGGGCCAGCGAGCTAGGGCCGACGGGCAGCGGGCCGGTGGCGAGCGAGGGCGGCACACTAGGGCCGGCGAGCTAGGACGAGCGCGGGGCCAGCGGGCGAGCGGCCGGCTGACTAGGGCGCGGCGCGGCTAGGGCTAGGGCACGGGCGCGGCTAGGGCTAGGGCTAGGGCTAGGGCTAGGGGCGGAAGCATAAGCGGGGAGGGGGACCTAACCTAGCGTGATACCATCTCTGAATAACGCAATGAGATATGATGGGAGATACATGGTGGTTTTGTTCTAAGGGGTTGTACCCTCTATGAGCATGCACCTATCTAGCCTAAACATATACAAATATATATTGACAGTCCTCCCTAGGTTGCAGGATCTAATAAGCATACCGGTATTCAGGTATACATTAGTAACTCAGAGGGTGTCCGAAGTAGAGAGTTGACGCCAGCTAAACTTAGATGACATCAACTCACCCGCAAAGCTCGACGTCGAATGTGGACGTCAAACCAGACGCAAATCCTAACTTCAGACATGCTTACATTCAAAAGTCTGCCCAAAATAAAATACGGTAAAAAGTTTCCGGCCGGGCAAGCAAAATTCGGGAACCACCAGCATACTGAAAGTTACCACGCCACAAACAAATCGTCATATCCCCTCCCAACGACCCGCAGGAGATTCGCGAATTAGTTTTAGTTGGTTGGGTGGGGGTCCTACAGGTTATGTGGCATAATATCTGAGCTGCCCGCTAAACTATTGAAACAACAGTGTGACATGAAGTTGGACTATTGGGTTTCGGGGGGCCTACTTCGGCCATCCCAGAAATCAGAACTGTAGCGTGTACAGTAGTGGTAACCCTCTTTTAACATCTGTGACGTCCCATCTGTGCTACTTCGGACATCCTCTCAGATCAGAGAGTGTTCGGAATCTCCCAAAACGGTACGCGATTGGATCTGTTTTGGTGCAGGCGGCCTTCCCCTCTCATTCCCAGTGTGCACGTTTTTCTCAGAGGCCCTTGATCCATTCTCGTTGCAGTGGTAGCAGGCTCTGACGCCCACCTGACGCCAGCGCACGCACGGCACCATTCGGATCGCCGTTGAGGCACGTGGATCTGCGAGGTGCGGCGCGCGGCGGCCGCCATGACGTACTTCCACTTCTTCAACTGCGCCGCGCTGTCCTTCGCGCCGCACGTCATCTTCTACAAGGCCACCCCGCTGTGAGTACAACCGCGCCCTGCCTCGCCGCACTGCCAGGCTCCTACGGCGTTAGGACGGGTCGTCACGACATCCCGCTGTTCACGTGCGCTCTCCAGATGCTTCCCACTTGACTCCGTGCGCCGTGTGTCGCCGCATCCCATCGCTGTGCGCCGTTTCTATCCTCCGCATAAGGCCTTCCGTTTAAGAATTGCTCGCCTCTCTCCGCCCCCCACCTGCTCGCGCGGATCCGCTTGCTTTCACTGGCGACGGCCGTCTCAAGCCCTTGGCCGCATCTTCCACTTCCTCTCCCAACCAAAACCCCCTCCACCCTAGTGTAACCGGCGTTCCGTCGCCCTACGCATGCGGCTCTGTCCCGCGCGCGGGTACCACATGCCATGGAGGTGCCACGGCCGCACCTCTCTCCCCGGGTGGCCTCCACGCCCCTCCCTCAGCTCCTGCCTCTCCTACCCCCGCGCCCGTGTCATTCATCCGCCTTCCCCATTCCGCGTGCCCCCCTGCAACCCGCCCCGCTGTCCCCTGCGCCCGGCGCCCTGCGTGCGGTGCGGCGAGCGGCGTCAGGTCGGAGTACGGCACGTGGACGGCCAGCCTCAAGGCGGCGCTCGTCTTCTTCGCCGCCATGCTGCTCAAGGTCAGCCGCCATGCCGCTCAAGGTCAGCCGCTGCTGGAATGGCTCACACGTTGCTTGTTGACCGTTGGGAGCGGTGCCATGACCTCCGTGCCAATCCGTCTGCCCTTTTCTCCCCCCCACTGTGCCGTGTGCCACGCCCCCCGCCCGCCGTGCGTGTGCTGGGTGGCAGATGATCCTGTGGGCGTCGCTGCTGCCCGAGTCCGACCATGACCCCGCGCTCGCCGCCTCCTCGCACCTAGACGCGCGCCAGGTGGCCACCCAACGCCACTGCGCCCTTTACCACGCACCTGCGCCCCTCGCTGCGTGCCCATTTCCCCCCTGCGCCCTACGTGCTCCATGCTGCCACAGCCGCCTGCCCTGCGGCCCCGCCCTCGTGCATGTCGTTCATCATGTTCCGCTCTCTTGCTGTGTGCCTGCATGCCTCGCTCTACCTGTGCCCATCCCTTCCCCCCCTCACGCCCGGTCACATCCCACCGTGTGCGCAGGAGGCGCTGCGCGCGGTGATAGGCGCGGGGGTGGACCTGGCGGGCATGCGGTATGCGCTGGTGCACGTGAGCCACCGCAACATGGCGTTTGAACACAAGTTCCAGGCCGTGGGGCTCGGTGAGCGCGCCAGGGGTTGAGGGCGGGAAGGGTGGAAGTAAGGACGGGGAGGGAGTGGCGGAAGAGAGGGAAGGATGTTTGTACAATTCGTTATCGTGCTCCCAAATCCCTTTGCCCCGTGTGTGTGCGTGCATGGGAGCGCTGCGTGCACCAGGGTGGGCGCTGGCGGAGTCAGTGAGCAAGCGCCTGGTGCCGCTGTGGGTGGGGGCGGGCGGCATGGAGTTCAAGTGGGACTTCATCGTGGACGCACTCTCCTCCAACATCGAGCTTGTGCGTCCTCCTGCTCCCTCTCCGCCCCTCTCAAGTCTCACTTTCCATTGCGCGCATCAAGTGTACCTCTCTCTTATGGCGTGGTATGCTGTGCCCTTGTGGTTCCCTCGCCCTTCACCCATTACCCCACCCCCCTGCCTGCTGTGTCCAGGTGTCCACTGTGACGCTGGCGGCGCTTGCGTCTCTACTGTGGCTACGCCGCAGCAAGCCGCCTGCCCTGGTGCCGCTCATCTACATCACTGCTGCACTGCTGGCCGCGCTGCCCTTCTCCTCCAGGTCCGCCCCTGGACCCAACATGCCCCCATGCTCGCCTGTGCGCTCTCATCACCTGCATTCTTCACTTCCATTGCAGCAAGTCTGCAACCAAGTGTTTGCAGCAGCCATCTGCTACTGGAGTGCTGCAGTCACTTGACCCCCAGCGAGAGAGTCGTAGCATGCAGTGCCGCTGCATGAGAGTGCTGTGCTGTGCATTTCACTCATGAAGCCCACACGCTTGCTGCTACCATCCTGCTTCCCCTCCTTGCTTGTCGCTTCTCTTACAGCTTTCTTGAGCACGGCTTGGGGTGGCAGCAGTATGAGGTGGCAGGTGCTCAGCTGGCAGCGTGCACTGTTGCTGCGATCGTTACATGGCGCCTCTTCTCTGCGTGCTCACGCCAGCCATCCCCTGCTTGAGACCCTACCCTCCTCATGTAGCGTTACTAGGGTGGAGCTGTGGCATCCCAGCCACCGCACCTGTGACTGGCCTGTTGCCATGAGACTGGTTGGGCCCTCTATTGCTGTTGTGCTGCCAATCTAAACAAATTTAGTACTTATCACAAACGCGCGGATACGCGACCCTAGGGTGTAGATTGTAGAATAAAAGGAGGGAGGTGTTGGAAATGATAGAAGGACTTCGGCAAATAAACTAAGTCCCGAGCTGGCGAGAAAACGAAACGTCACAGTGCCCTGTGTTAAAATTATATATTTAGTTATATGATTGTTAGGCTTGGTAGGTTACCGAACTTTACTGTAGAGGGTACAATCCCCTCCTTGTATGCCTCTCTTTCTATTCCAACCCCCTTTTCTCTCAACTTTTCTCCTTCCTAAACCTCACGCCACTCCATGGCTCCTCCTAGCTAAACCTCATGCCTTTCCTAGCTTCCTAGCTAAGCTAGCCTTCTAACATGGTAACAGAGCCGGTTACCTTCCGGGGCCTGCTCCCCTCGCTTCCGCCGCGCACTCCCTCCCCGTCATGCCGCGCTGGCCCCGTCAATCCGCGCTGGCCTCGTCGCGTCGCACGGGCCACGCTTCCTCCGCGTACCCGTCCTTACTTCGCCGCCGTCGCGGCCTTCCGTTTGCCTGCCGCCGTGGCACATTTTCCGAGATGCCGCGACGGCCTCTGTGTGCTGTCGTCTCAGCGTCGACGAGCAGCCGCGGCCCCGACGCCATGCTGTGGTGGCGTCGTAGTGGTGCCGTGGCTGTGTCGTCGGCCTGTTGCCGTCGCGCACCACCTGCGTCGCTGTTGGATTTGCAGCCCGCCCGCCCGCCAGTAAGCGCCTAGCCAGCAATGGCGCCGCGCTGAAGATCTGACGCCCTGCCCCTTCCCCCTTTCCTCTGTCCCCTCCTCTTCACCACCGCCGCCGCCTGATTCTCGCCGGTCGTCCCCCTGTCGCGGAGTTTGGACACGCCGCCGGAAGGGCGGGGGCCGCTGCACTCACCGCCGTCGTAAGCCGAAGCTGTCGCCGTCGCCGCTGTTGTCGCCGCAGGCCTTTTGCCGCCGCACGCCCGTCGTCGCCGTCGCTGTCGCCGCGGCCGGGACTGCCGCCGTCGCCATCTCCAAGGCCTTGTGGGCCCCGTTGGAGTCGTTGTGGCTGATGGGAATGGGGGTGCTAGGTTAGGGGGTGTGGGGGTGTGTGTGGGCTTGTGACTACCAAGCCTAGGGGGTGTGTTAAAATTATATATTTAGTTATATAATTGTTAGGCTTGGTAGGTTACCGAACTTTATTGTAGAGGGTACAATCCCCTCCTTGTATGCCTCTCTTTCTATTCCAACCCCCTTTTCTCTCCTCAACTTTTCTCCTTCCTAAACCTCACGCCACTCCATGGCTCCTCCTAGCTAAACCTCATGCCTTTCCTAGCTTCATAGCTAAGCTAGCCTTCTAACACCCTGAACTTAGTTAACTCTCCGAAACAGGGCTCTCGCTAGGATTTGGGGCTGTCTGTGTTAAATTATATTTTATATAATTGTAGGCTTGGTAGTTGTGCTACAAACTGCATCCTACTGTAGAGGGGATAACCCTCTTCTTGTGTCGCCATCTTCTTTCCTACTCCTCTCCTATCTCGTAAAACTTCTCGCCTAGCTCCTACCTAAACCCCGCCGCCATAGCCATGGCGTCCTAGCTTAACTTTACGACATGGTACCAGAGCAGGCCGCCCATCCCGGGCGTGCTCACTACACTTCTGCTGCGTACCCGTCCCTCCTTCGCCGCCGTTGCGGCTTTCTGCCTGCCGGCCGCCGTGGCATCTTTTACGAGATGGCGCAGCGGCCTATCGGTGCTGCCGTCTCAGCTTCGACGAGCAGCCGCGGCCCCAACGCCACGCTGTTGCCGCGTCGCACTGGTGCCGTGGCGGTGTCGTCGAGATGCAGCCGCCGCGTATCACCTCCGCAGCCGCTGCACGTGCAGCCCACCCGCTCGCCAGTAAGCGCCGCGCCAGCAATGGCGCCACGCTGAAGTCCAGCAGCCCCACCACCTCTCCCTCCCTCCTCCTCCTGCTGCAGCCGCTGTCTTCTGCTCGGTCGTCGCCGGGTCGTGCCACACCGCCGGGAGCCCTCAGCCGCCGCAGTCGCCGCCTGCCTTCCTCGACACAGCCGCCTTGAGCACGTGCTCTGCCGCTGTCGTCATTGAAGCCGCCCAGACGCCGACAGCTGCCTCTCGTCCAGGGGTGTCATCGCCTAGCACGAGGGTTAGATACCCGGCTGCTCACGAGTATGAGGGTGTACGGGATTAGGGGGTATGTGGGTGTTGGGTGGGTTTGTGACTACCAAGCCTAGGGGGTGTGTTAAATTATATTTTATATAATTGTAGGCTTGGTAGTTATGCTACAAACTGCATCCTACTGTAGAGGGGATAACCCTCTTCTTGTATCTCCACCTTCTTTCCTACTTCTCTCCTCCCTCGTAAAACTTCTCGCCTAGCTCCTACCTAAACCCTGCCGCCATAGCCATGGCGTCCTAGCTTAACTTTATGACTGTCTGAACCAGGGTTCCCGTTAGCAGACGAAATCCGTCTGTTCATCTGAGAATCAGACTCACTTTTCCAGTATCATCTGATTTTTTGACAGCCCATTATTTTTCATCTGAACGACCATCTTGGTTATATATATTCGTATGAATTCTCAGACTTGGTGTAGTCAATCGTCTGAATTTCCAGATAGCGCGTATATTTCCGTCTGGGAGCGTGTTCCTACGGGGCTCTGATGAGATTCACAATTTGAGCTGGAAGGCGATGAACGATCACGATCTCGACGGTTCACCCACCTCGTAACCTGTTGCGCGTTTTACAAATTTGGTGTAGTCCAGTCCTTGTGGTCATTCGGCCACGTGTGTCATCGGGCCTCAAAGCCAGGCCTCTGGAAGTCAAGGTAATTACACTGCTTTGTCATGGAAAACAGGGTGAAGTTTTGACCTGGCCCTGCTTTTGATGCATTCAGAATATCGATACCCGTCCATAACAGGCCAGCCAAAATCATCCCACGACCCATCTTCGAATAGGGGATGGACTCACCCTGTAAAATCTAATGTAAAAGTTCGCACCCCTATAAAAATTTGCCCCCCCTGTCATTGTGAGGAGTGGCACACTCCAAGCTGATCCAAACTCTGGCCTGCAAAAGCAGTCAAAAGTTTTAGGGCTACCCAGCCTGGACGAGTTGGATCAAGGGCAAACTCAGATTCTGCTGGGTGACCCCTAGATTATCGAGAGGCCTGCTCAGAGCATGTCCTTACGGCCTCTCCCCAGCCAACCTCATCCCAAACTCCCACGCTACAGTGTCACGTAATTCTGACGAGAAACAGTTAAATGCGGTTCCGCGTGGTGTGACGCGAGATTGGGATTGTCGAGATTCAAGGGGTGTTTTCAAATCTCGTTTCAGGCGCGAAATTTTCAGTCGTGCGCGAATCTGTATAGTTGGATTTGAACGCGATTGATAACGCAATTCTGAGACGAATTAGCTGGAAAAACGGTTCGTCGAACACGCTCTCAGGCAAGGGCCGAGTTTGGGAAGAGGACAGCCTGGGAAGAGGTTCGTAGGAACACGCTTTCAAACCTGCCATCCGCGGATTTTTTTTTGCCGCGTGGCCGTCATCACCCTAGTAATGTACTACAATTTATTGTGAAGTTCCTTTTTTTCCGTCTGGAAGCTCAGATGATGCTCGACAATTCTTCTGAAAATCCAGACCAGCACAGGTAGCTCGTCTGATGGTCAGACGAATTTTTGAAACCTCATCTGATTCTCAGACAGCCCTAAAACTTAGCAGGAACCCTGGTCTGAACATTAGACAAAATTTTTGGCGCCAGTCTGACGATCATCAGAAAATTTTAGACTAGTCTGACGTTTGTGACGAAGTTTTCTCCGCAGTTTGTTTTTCAGACAAAAAAAATCGCTCGTCTGGGTTGTAATTGCGACAGCGTGGACTCCAGGCCCCCAAATTGGTTTTGGGGTTGTCTGATTCGTCAGACTCGCCTGCCATCCCTTGGTATGGCCATCAGAGTTGGCCCTAAAAAAAAGGTCTGAAAAATCAGAGTAACTAGATATTTTTTGTATAATAAACCAGAGTCACTATCAGGCCCCTAGATTAATTTGGAGGCACGCTGATTGATCATCCCCGACCTCGTGCTTTTGGCTGAAGTCGCAGACTTCCCCCATGTAAAAACGTTGAAAAAACATAGTTACTCAATATGTTTTTGCTTTTCAAACAGCCTTAGCCGAAAAAAAACTCTGCAGTGTAAAGGATTGGCTAACGCGAGATTTTTTTGGTGAAGCAACAATCCCTGTGTGTTTGCGCGTCAGCTTGACAGTGCCCCGCACCAAATTATAGGAAAACATAGCGTGACTGGCGGGGGCTGATTACAGCTTTGGTGGGTGCGGGCGAGAGGGACTCGTTATGAAGTTATCTGTGCCGCATTTGTGGCTTGTGTGTAAGTGTATTCCGCACCTTGGGTCTGACCCGAGGTTGACCCGCTGTCGAAGGAGCCGCAGGATTTACAAGCTCAACCTTGGGTCTAGTGACTTTGACGGTCGTGCGCCTACAGAGCCATTCGCGTGTTCCCAGTCGAGCAGCCGTCAGGAGTTGTAAGACCCGAGGCTTTTTTTTTTCCACCTCGCGTGTTTCAGCATGACACTAGTGTCGAACACGAGCTCCAGAATTACTCTGAGGGGGTGTGGGAGGAAACATGCTGGTTTTCCCATGAGTTGGTTTCTTAGTTTGTTTAGGGGTAGTTTTCAGATGGTATTAGAGATTTGGGGGGTGAAGGATATCGGGATTCCAGGGGGTATTTGGAGACGTGACTGGTTGCAGAAGACTTAGGGATTATTGAGATTATTGGGATTGCGGGGGGGTACTTGAGGGGTGTGTGACGGGTTGAGGAAGACTAAGGACAAATTCATCGGGATTGCGGGGGTTGTGAGAGGGATGTGACTGGTTGCTAAAGACTTAGACAAATTTATCGGGATTGCAGGGGGGTAGTTGAAGGACGTGACTGGTTGCGGAAGACTTAGACAAATTTATGGGGATTGCGGGGGTATGAGGGATGTGACTGGTTGCGGAGGACTTAGACAAAATTTTAGGGGTGTGTGTCGCTGAAAACGTAGATTGGGGTGCGGAAGGGGGGACTCTCGCTGTACTCGGTTTCAGAGTCCCACCCTATTGCTCCGCTGATGCAACAGCGTACAGTTCTACCAAAACTCTGAAAAAACAG